TATTTATAGTCTACTCCAAGGATAATAAAGCCACAAGATATATACATATATATATCTATAAAATATCTTGTGAGTTAGTTATATTATATTAATATATTATTTTGTTCTATTATATATTTAATTTATATATAATCATACATTGTGTAATATAATAATTATATTATATGATGATATTATTATATAACAATTGTATTAATATATATCTTGATAATAGCATTCATCCATTTATGGGTGCTACCCTATTACCTTCATCTCCTGTCCAGAGCTCCCCCTTTTAACATGATTACACTGGGAACTGAGTTGAGTTTCCAACATGAGAACCTTGGTGACCCATTCAAGTCCTGACAGCGTACCATCTGAGAGAGAGAAAGGACACAGCCATGTAGAAATGAAGTCAGGAGGCTCACACCCTGCTGATCTGGGCAGAGGACACAGGAGCACAGCTTCCTGCAAGCATGCGGTGCTGCTTGGGCTCCATCCTGACTCTGGCCCCATAGCTTCTGCTGCTCCCATCCTCCTGCCTCCCATCTGCCTCTGCGTGCTCCTTCATGCTGCATCTTCTCAGCCTTGTAGGATCCTTCATATCACAGATTCCAGTCGTCTTTGTCCCCTTGCTTTGTTGATGTTACCAAATGAGCTTCAGCTGCAGTTATCCATCTACCCATCCATCCATCCATCCATCCATCCCTCTGTCTGCCCGTCCATCTGTCCATCCACCTCACCTCTATGTACTTAGAGCATCCCACTCAAGCTGTGGTCCCCACCTGGAGGCCCTGCACAATGAGCACCTCTCCATCTGGACACACTACTCTTGCCTCAGCACTCAGGTTAAGCCTTGTCCTTTCCTGCTGTCCCATGCCCACCCCCATCCTCCATCCAGCACCTCCTCCCTCAAAGCCCATACATACTACACACTCTGGCCACTGACCTTTCTGTACCCACTGAAGACCAAGAACCCCAAGAGTGGAAGTCATATCCCATTCCCCTTTGTGTCCTCAGAGGTAAGCAGACTGCTGGGCATATAGACATGCCAACCAATGTTTGACGATGACGTTCCATGTTCTGAACTCATCAAATGACTGTAGGCATAGGCCACTTGTTCTTTTCCCAGCGGCCCAGACCTAAAATAATCACACAGAAACTGTAGTATTACAACATTGCATGGCCCATTAGCTCACGCTTCTTATTGACTAGCTCTTATGTCTTAAATTAACCCATTTCTATTAATCTGCGTATTATCGTGTGGTTATGGCCTGCTGGTAAGGTTTCATCCAGCATCTGGCATCTGTCTCCTGCAGCAGCTACATGGCTTCTCATTGACTCTGTCTACTCTCTCTCTATATCTTTTCCAGTCTGGCTGTATTCTGTTAAGCCATTGGCCCAAAGCAGCTTCTTTATCAACCAATGGCAGTAAAACAGCATACAGAGTGTAACCCCATATCAAATGACAGTGGGTTTCCTTCTTGTTTTTCACTGTATGCACTAAATGATTGCCCTGCTACCAAAAGTACTCATTTGCACACTCAGGTTGTCAGGCAGGTAATGGCATTATGGGATGTGAAGAGTAGGATGATGCTGAATCTTTTCACTGCCTTTTGCATTTAGACGTGTGTGTGAGCATGTGTTTGCGTGTGTGTGCACGTGTGTGTGTGCGTGTGTGTGTGCGTGTGTGTGTATACAAGTATGGTGCATGTAGAAGCCAGAGTTCTCCACTGAGTGCCCTCTTCAGTAGCTCTCTACCTTATTTTCATTTCTTTTCTTTGCATGTGCATGTAGTGTGAACACATGTGTTTCTGTGTGCTCATATGTGTGTGAGTGCATACCTTGTATGTGTGTGTGGAAAGAGGCCTGAGGTTGATGTTGGGTATTTTCCTTAATCACTCTCCACAATTTTTTCTTTTTAAAATTTTATTTTATTTTTGTTTATGTGTATGCATTCATTTCTACATAGGAGCCTTATCACATGAGTGCAGCTTCCTGGGGAGGCCAGAAGAGGGTGTTGGGTCCCCTGGAGCTGGAGTTAAAAGTGATTGTTAGCTACCCAACATGGGTACTAGTCACTGGCCTTGGGTCCGCTGCTGGAGTGGCATTGCTCCTAACTGCTACGCCATCTTTGCAGCCCTGTAGTGTTACTATCTGAGGCGATCTCTCACTCAACCCAGAGCCTGACCATTATTCACCTAGATGGCTTGCCCTGGGGATCCTTTACCACCACTTTCTGGGTGCTGGGTTTACTGGCAGGCCACCAAGCCTACCAGGCATTCACATGGGTTCTGGGGTGTGGTCAGCCCACAGTTGGTCCTCATGGTTGCGGAACAAGCATTTGTCTCCTGAGTTACCTCCACAGTCCCTCACCTTGTTTTTTAAGACAGCAGGGGCTTGCCGATTCGGCGAGGTTGGCTGGCAAGCAAGACAATCCTTGTGTCTCCACCTCATCAACCTTGGGATTACCACAGCAAACCATCATGCCCGGCTTTTTACATGGGTTCTGGGGGTCCAAGCCCATGGCCTCAAGCTTGCACGGTGTTTCACCAATCAAGTCCTCTTATATGCCTCCAAGAATTTATAGTTTTAAATTCTGCCATCTTACATTTTATCTCCTCAGATATGAGAGTCTGGAATTAAACTCACAGCAGCTAACATAACTGTATCTTTCTTTCCTTTTGTTGATATTCGCTTTACTCTCTCCCCACTCCAACCTCCATGCTGGACTGGATTCTTCCATTCTTTCTCAAGGACAGACTATGGCTTCCCAGAGCTTCAAGTCCATCATCTTGATGAACCGGGTAGACTGACAGGACACGCCATTGCAGGGCCATGGATCCAAGAGCAGATTGTCGGAAACTGTGTGGGGTTTTGCTTGTTTGTTTGTTTTAGTTTTTTCTCCTTTGAGTTAATCAGTGAGATGGGGACACACAACAACAAACACAGAGCTGCAGAGCTGCTCCCAGGGGACAGTTTTTGGTCTCAGATGAAGAAGAGTTCGTAAAACATGTCTTCCGTTTGGAAAACATCCCTAAGACAGAGATGGTGGATGTCAAAGGACTGCTTAGCAGCAAGTGCGCGTTTGTGTGTAATAGCTTGCCCAAAGGACCACTTAGCAGCAAGTGTGAGCTGTGTGTAATAGCATGCCCAATATAATTAAGTGTTAAGACAGAGGGTGGCATTCTCCACAAAGGCACAGTTGGATGTGAAAAGACTCACACAGACAACAAGTCAAGTACAGGTTCTTTAAAAAGGAAATCACTGAAACTGGAGAGATGGCTCAGTGGTTAAAAATGTCTTTCAGAGGACACAGGTTTAATTTCCACATGGGGCTTACAATTGCCTGTTAACTCCAGTTTCATGGAATCAGAGTCCTCCTCTGGCCTCTACGGGAACTGCATGCACACCGTGTATATATATAAATAAAAATACACAAATCTTTTTTAAAAAGGACATTAGTACAGGGTTACCCTGACGATTCCAAAACTGGATTAAAATATATAAGATTAAAAAATAAAAAGCCAAGTATGTGGTTCAGTTGGTGCAATGCTTGCCTAGCATGCACAACAGCCTGGGTTCGAGCCCCAGAGGCTGTTTGCACTGGGCATGGGGGTAGAGTGGGATGGAGACCGGAGGATCAGAAGTTCAAGGCCAGCCTGGCATATGTGTTCTCACAAGAGAACAACACAGAGCTTCGGCAAACAACACCAAGAAACTTTTTCAAAGCCTTTTTTGTTTGTTTAAAAAAAAACCTTTTTTTTTTTGTTTAAAAAAAAAAGCCTTTTTTTTTTTGTTTGTTTGTTTAAACCAAAAAAGGGGAAATGATGGAGGAAGGTCATTGGCTAATAAAGGATCTGCCTTGGAAAAAAAAAAAAAAAGAAACTTTTTCACAGGACGACTGCGAAGAGGAAATGGTAGAAAAAAGTTCAGAAAGATGAAAGGCTAGAGGGTTGGTTCCGATGGCCATCATCCAACTAGCAGGGATTCTAGGAAAACAGGGAGAGAGAAAGGGAAAGTCGGTACAGGTACACAGAAAGTAATCGAACCGAAAAACCCAGCGATTATTGACCTGGGGGAGAAGGACGGGACAAAATGCCCAAGGACACATAATCCTCATGGGAACTGGCTTCAACAGCTAACAATGTTTCATTGTTGAGAGAGGCCATTATAAACATTGAGCATTGCTTTCACTGAAAGTGATGTGAACGGAGTGTACGGAATCCAGGGGCGAGAAATATTTCTAGGGAGAATTTAAAACATCTAAATCGTTAGCTTCCTTAATAGGAAGTTTGGGATATCCCAATAATCCAAGAAGAGTAGTGTTGGTTTAAGCATTGGAGAGCTGGAGCTAGAGAGTTGGGGCTAAGAAGGAGTACCACACTCCTGCACAGTTTGGTTCTCAGAAAGAGCCAGGGGGCTCCATAAGTGCCTGCACCTCCAGCTCCAGGGGTCTGGTGCCCTCTTTAGGCCCATGGGCACTTGCGCTCACATCTGTCCCCAGACATAGCTGCCAACACCATATACTTCTTATCTCACAAGTTTGTGCATGTTTGCTAGAATCACACTTAAAAATTTATTTTTTTCTAAAAATTGAATCTGGAATGTTCCCCAGATTTCATGTGTTGAAGAACTACCCAAGCTTGGTGCGGTTGGGAGACGGTGGAGGTTTTAAGTGGGGACCAGGTGGGAGGTCTCCTGGTCCTCGTAGATGTACCTGTGAAGAGGGGAATTGAGCCCCACGGTGGAGGACTGGCATCCACAGAGATGACTTTGACACCATCGTAGAAGTAGCAAGGGTTCCCTTCCTGACAGAGTAATGGTCATAGGAGGCGGTGGGGGGGGGGGTCCTGGTGATAATGAGCTCATTCCCACTGAAATGTTGGAGCTGATATTGGAGACGATGTGGAGGCTGAAGCTCCCACCCTCACATCATTTGTCTGCCTGCCCTTTCCTGAGGAAAGCAGGGTCCATCAATAGCACCATCAACCGCGTACTCTTTGGGTTCCCACTTGCAGGTCGGAGCTCTGCCCCGGTTGTGTGACGTGCTGCGCGTCCTGCAAGAGGAACGGGCCCAGTGTGTGCAGGAACTCTCCAAAGAGAAGCCAGGAGATTTGGGCCTGGAGACAGTGTCAGGTAGGAGGCCTCCCTCACTCCAGGGGCACTCCACAGCGGGGTCCTATCCTGTCGTCTGGGGGAATGGCTTGTCCTCAGGACCAAGTGGGCTTTCCAGGGTAGGTCCAGGTTTGTCCACTCCATCTGCTGTCAGATTGGGTACATGGTCTCAGTGGACTTGGAAGCCTCATACTTCCTTTCTCTGGACAGCCAGCGCTTTCTCGCCATCTGCTTCTGCACACGCAGTTTATCAAGGTGAGTTTTTCGTTGTTGTTGTTGTTTTTTGCTAGTTTATAAATCTTTGAGTGTGTGCACATGTATGGAGTGTGTGTATGATACTTGTACTCCTCTGTGTTTGGGCGGGGGGGGGGGGGGGACACATGCCAGAGCATAGGTGTCAGAGGAGAAATGGTACTTGTTTGAGACAAGGCCTCAACACTGCTGCCTGTGCTAGGCTAGCTAGCTGACTGGAGAGCTTCCAGGGTCTTTTCTGGTTCTTACTCCCACAGGAATGCTGGGATTACGTATGTATGATTTTACACCTGGCTTTATGTAAAGTCTAGAACTCTGAACTCAGATCCTCATGTTTGTAACAACAATCACTTTTGCTGTTCAGTCACCTCCCCGACCCAAAGCGGAGGTTTGGTGGGAAGTGTTTCACGGGGTCATAATTCTCTCATCCATACCCTTGAGATGCTGAGGAGCAGGGCGGAAGGGGCAGGGTGGTGTCAGAATGGCTGAAGTGGGGGCGGGGGGACACATCTGCTGTTGACGGTGCAGAGCCAGACGCTCAGAAGTCTGCTAGGAGCACTGTGCTGAGATTTCACTCAACACAGAAACACGTGTCCCCGGTTGCTGGATGTCTCCTGATGATTCCTCTCTGGAAGCCCTATATGGGCTTAGAAGCATCTTTAAACTTCTTAAAAATTTTGAAATATTTATTTTATTTTACATGTATGAGATTTTGCTCACAAGTTTGTGTACCCATGCATTTCTGGGGCCTGAGGAGGGAGGAAAGCAACATCGGATCCCCGGAGCAGAGGCTACAGAGGGCTGTGAGCCACTGTCTGGGTGCTGGTTCTTGACTGGGCTCCTCTGCTGGGTCAGTAAGTCTCATACCCACGGAGTCATCTCTCCAGCCCTGCCAGGGAGCATCTTAGCAAATATGGCTGTGTATAGCACCCTCTTCACCCAGCTTCTAAAGAGGGTACCACTAATCACCCCCACATCCTTGTTTAGAGAGCGCTGACCGGCACTCACTGGTTGTGGGACTGTAGCAAATTATTTAACCTTCTGAGGCCCAGTTTCCTGCTCTCTAGAATGGAGATAACCATGTCAGCTTCAGAGTTATAATGATAAGTGTGGTAAAGTGGGCACAAGGCAAAACACTCCTTTCAATCCATAGCACCATGGCCATCTACCAGTCAGTAAATACATACTTCCCATTATTATCAATCACCACTAATATAAGTTTTGTATTTGAGTATTAATTGTATTCCCATCCTCTTCTTTGCTGTCTATCATCTAAGAGGGTATCATTAAGAAAAGAACCTGCGGTTGGGGAGATGGTTAAGTCAGTTAAGTGTTTGCCTTGGAGACACGAGGGCCTAAGTCAGATCCCAAGGACCCAATTTTAAAAAGCCAGGCATGTGGCATATACTTGCAATCCCCGTGATGGACTGGAGGGACATGCACCAGGTTCTTGGGGCTCACTGAACAGCCAGACTAGCCATGTTGGCGAGTTCCAGACCAATGAGAGACACTGACTCAACAAACAGGATGATGGTATTCAGGTTGTCTTCTGACTTCCACATGAACCCACACACACATGAATACACAAAAACACACACATACATGCACACACATGAATACACAGGAACACATACACATGAATACACAGGAACACAGACACACATGAATACACAGGAACACAGACACACATGAATACACTGGAGCAGACACACACACACAAATACCCCACATGAATACACAGGAACACATACACATTCACATGAATACACACACAAATACACAATAATACACATATGCACACACAAATACACAGGAACACACTTTCACACACACAAATACACATACGCACACACATGCACACACATGAATACATTGGAACATACACATGCACACACAAGTACACAGGATCATACACATGAATATACAGGAACACACAAACACTCTACATGAATACATAGAAGCACACACAATCCACAGGAACATACACACATGTGTGCATTTGCACACACACACACACGTTGAGGATTATCCTTAGAACCAGGCAGGTGTCATGTGCTCTGAGACTGATGCAGGACCTGGGTGGGAGGGGCTGAGGGGTGCTCCTCATCCTGCCCTGTGAGCCTGTGCTTCACTCCCAAGGTTCTGTCTTGGCTCATGCTCTTGGGAGCAGTCAGGGGACTCTGCTGGGGGCCGGGGTTAATGGTTAAGCTGTTGATTCTCCCGAGTAGAGGTTAATATTTAAAGCTAGACAAATGACAGGAAATGCCACTGGGGAGGTGTCACCAAGCCTGGCACATTCACCACAAATAAACAATTAACTCTCCAGCTCTTCTGAGCTAGGTGACCAAGTCCACTCCGTGGGAATGTCTCAGGGTCATGCCCCTTGTCGCACTCCTGGGATGTTTATTTCTTGGTTTACAGAAGCCATCACCCTCTCAGGGTGGGCTGGGAGGTGTTTCTGGCTCTCTCTCCAAGAAGAGTGTTCCAGAAGAATAATATGGTGGCCAGATATTTGCAGGTTCTGTCGTCATAACAGATGTGGGCATCCATCCGGCTTTGTCACATAGGCCTGTGTGACCCCTGTGTGACCTCTCTGGACCTTGGTGCCCTGCCCTCTCTGTCAAGGGGAGCATGCTAGCACTTTCTTCTAGTCTCCACTGGCAGGGTGATCTCCCCACAGCATGAATGGGAAAGCACTTTTTTGTTTGTTTGGTTTTGTTTTTTTGAGATAGGATTTCTCTGTCTAACAGCTTTGGCTGTCCTGGAACTCACTCTGTAGACCAGGCTGGCCTCCAATTCACTGAGACCTGAGTGCCTCTGCCTCCCGAGTGCTGGGATTAAAGGTGTGCACCACCACTGCCTGGTACCTTTGGACTTTTCTGCCAAGATGAAATTTGTATTAAATTATTCCCTTGGAGGTTTACAATCCTCTACCATTGGTCATACTATGCAACCACTTGCATCAAGTTCTAAAATGCTCTCATCAGGCAAGGAGGAACTGTGGGCTCCCTGCTGACCTCCATCAGCAGGTACAGGGCCCTGAGCAGGACTGCTCCAAGTCCTCTGTCAGATGCTCCAGAAATAGCCCCGGGTTATCGTCAGGCCATCTGTGCTGATTTATAAATAAGCCAGGGCCCGAGGATGGCCTCGCGGGTCAGCACGGGAAAAAGTGAAAGTTGGCAGAGGGCTGGCTGGCTATAATCCAGCTGGCTGGGGCCCTGAAGATACATACCCAAGGCCCATTCTGCCCTCTAGCTCAGCCTTCCCTCTTTCACCATCCAGCTTCATCCTATACCTGCCTCTGGGGGTGTGTCTAGGCAAGACACAGGCACACATGGTACTAGGTGTCTGCCTTGGGGATCTTCCCAAGTCTAGAGAAGCCTGTACCCCTCCCAGGGTGGCAACAGACCCTCATCTATTCATTGTGGCTTTTATTTTAACTCCATTCTCCTGGTGAAGCTGACTCTTAAGCCTTGGTGTTTCTGAGAAACACCTCAAACTTTGTTCTGTGTGGGCCTTAGCTAACAGATCCCTGCCCTGGCCACAGGGCTGTTCTGCACATGGCGGGAAGTGCGCTCTGCAAGGCTCTGTGGTCTCATCTCCATAGCCATTCTCCTCTGAACCATCTGCCACTCAATTATATGGCTTGTCTTGTGCCTTCCCTCCCTCCCTCCCTCCCCCTTTCGTCCTTCCCTTCCCCTCCCTCTCTCTCTTTCTCCCTCCCTCCCTCTCTTTCTCCCTCCCTCCCTCCCTTTTTTTTTTTTTTTTTTTTGGGTTTTTGAGACAGGGTTTCTCTGTGGTTTTGGAGCCTGTCCTGGAACTAGCTCTTGTAGACCAGGCTGGTCTCAAACTCACAGAGATCCGCCTGCCTCTGCCTCCCAAGTGCTGGGATTAAAGGCGTGCGCCACCACTGCCCGGCCCTCCCTCCCTTCTTTATTTCCCTCCTTTCCTCTTTCTTCCGCATCCTCCCTCCCTCCCTCCCTCCCTCCCTCCCTCCCTCCTTTCTTTCTTTCTTTCTTTCTTTCTTTCTTTCTTTCTTGGGTCTCATGTAGCCTAGTCTGGCCTCAAACTCACTAGGTGATAAAAGATGACCTTGAACTTCTGATCCTCCTGCATCTGCTTGTTGAGTGCTGAGATTACAGGTCTGTACCATTATGCTTGGTTTATGTGGTGCTGAGGCTGGAATTCAGGGCTGTGTGCATGACAGGCAAGCACCTCCCCCAACCCCAGAGCTAAAGCCCCCCTGTCACCCTGTTATTCTTCTTTCATCTTTTGAAGAGATAATAAAAATATATAATTGGTAAGATAAAAATTATTCAAACAAGTACCACCCAAAAGCCTGGGCCTCTGTGTGGGTGGTTTCTTTGCCTGTCAGGAATTCCTAGGTCTACTCTTAGCCTTCTTTGCCCAGAGGCTGAAGAAGCATCTGTGGGTGTTCAGCAAGTGTGGGGTTAGGAGGCAGTTCTGCTGCGGTGGAGGAGTGTCCTGACAAAGTCAGTCTTCCCTGGACTGAGGAGACCGGAATGCTGTGTGGGATCCCAACGCTATCAGTGCCTCTGCTTTTGCCACTCTGACACCACCCTAGAGTCCTCTGTTCTTCCTTGAAACGTGGGAAATTGACACCCCGTTACATCTGGGCTGTTGGGATAACCAGCTCCAGAATGCCGGCTACACATAGCTCAGACCTGACATGGTTCCACCCAGCCCAGGGCCTGGCTGGCATGAAGAGTGTCTCCAAGCCAGCTGGCAGGGATTCCTACCTTCCTCAGGCACTCTTACCAGGCCTCAGCCAGCTCTAGGTTGGCCGTTCTGTGGGCCCTGCCCAACGTGACCTCCAGAAGGTTCTCAGACACTCTGACACCTCAGTCTGTCTGGCCAGGCAGGCAAGGTCATCTACCACATTTACTGGAGTCTTTGGCTAGTGCTTGGTGGCTGGGTCAGCCCCAGTCAGCTCTGAGTTCCTTTTTTCTGGTCACCTGCCTCCAATACTGCAGACCCACTGAGCAGACAAGGAGACTGTGTCCAGTAGCCACATGAAGATGTGTGCTTAAAGAAGGGGACACGGGTTTCTCTTTGGCCTCCTGGGACTCGAGGTAGTGGAAAGAGAGGGCAGCATCTTCAGGAAAGGATCCGGGCAGGGCCAAATCACAACCGTTGTATCCCTTTTGTCATGGCTGGGACAAAAGCAGCTAAGAAAAGGAAGAGTGGCTTTGGTTCACAGTCTGAGGGTGCAGTTCCTCATGGCAGGACGGGCATAGCATCAGGGGCTTGAGGGAACTGGCGTTGCACCCACATCCCATCGCGGTGGGAAGGCTTGGCAGCGGAGCATGGGGCAGCTGCTCACAGGGCACCACAGTCAGGAAGCAGAGAGAGGTGAAGGCTGGCGCTCAGCTCATCTTCTCCTTTTCTGCTCACCCCAGCCCTTGGAGTGGTGCTGCTCACGGTCAAGGTGGCTCCTCCCACCTCTGTTAACTCAATCTGGAAACTCCTGCGCAGGCATGCCCAGAAGTTTATCTCCTATGTGAGTCTAGATACCATCAAGTTAACAGTGAACGTTGACTCACACCCAGGAAGATCCCTCTCAGGCCTGGAGCGAACATTCACGACTGACTGGCAGAAGATCAGCCTCTGGAGTGACGGGACAGACACCGTGCTCTGTGGCAGTTCCAAACCAGAAATGCACAGGGCTTTCTACCTGCTGGGGTCACTGAGATTCTGGATGAAGATTCAGAAGCATTCAAGGGTTGCTCACCTCTTGGGTTCCTTGAAGGACTAATGTCTCATCCTTTGGTCATGTGTCCTCAAAGCATCATTATCGTTTCTCAGTACAGTTTCCATAGTAACCTGCCCCACCATAAAAGCTCTGTCCTTACTTCACATCAGAAGCAGCTGGAAGCATGTTCAGTACACAGACCTGTGGGTTTTGAATTCTAACTCAACCATTGGGAGGTCAGACCCAGAAGACGGCCTCTCATAAGCTCCCCAGAGATGCAGCTCTGTGTGTATCAGGGCTTTGGAGAATCCGCTCAGTCTTCCAGTCTTCCCTGGTATGCCCTGGTCGGTGGGTACAGAGTACCCCAGCTTCCAGCATCCAGCAACAGAAGCAGTCATTGACTTAGCTTCCAGGTACTGTTGTCCACCAAGCAGAGGGTCCCCAAGAGCAGAAGCTTATCTGGTTGCCTATAGTGGGAGTCCCTAGACCTCTCGTGGGCCTGGCATAGCAAAGGCACTTGATATGGGCTATGAACTAGTAGATGAATCAATGCTGGCACAGCCTCCTCTACCTGTAAGCTCGGCCTTGACATCTCTGCAACTTCTCAGTTCCATGTCTTCACCTGGCCCTCCACTCTCTTTGATTTGGTGTTTGTGGGGGGACCCAAGGCATCTGATTCAACCCCTATACTACAGTGAAACAGAAGCCATGAAATAGAGGGGAGAATGGTTTACTGAGTCGACACAGCCATGAAACACAGAGGGAAGATGTGTCTGCCTAGCTCGCCATTTGGTGCCGGTTCATAGTCTCCAACCCCCTGACCTGTCTTGAGACATTGGTTAACACCAGGCAGGCTCAGAGGCCAGTATGAAGAGGCACAAGGAAGTGTGTGTGTGTGTGTGTGTGTGTGTGTGTGTGTGTGTGTATGCGTGCATGCGCGTGTGTGTGTACACAAGGGATGGGCCTGGCCAGGATGAATAGGGTCAGCAGAGGGTACAAAGGCCTGGGGATGTAAGAAAGTAAGTCATGTGGTGTGTTTCTGCCCTGTTAGTAGCGCCAGCACCCAGTGGGTCTGAGAGAGGCTTTGAAGGTGGGGTGAAGGACAGGGCAGGCTACAGCCCAGGACAAGGATGGCAGGAATCTGGAAGAAGAAGAAGGATAGCATTGTATTTGTTTTGTTTTCTTAAGACAGAATTATATTTGGCCTCAATCTTGCTGTGAAGTTGAGGATTATCTAGAACCTTTAATCCTCCTGCCTCCTCCCTACTGGGATTATAGGCATGTGTTACCATCCCTAGTTTTTGTGATCCCGAGGACCAAACCCAGGGTCTTGTGCATGCTGGGTAAGTGCTCTATCAGCTGAGCCACACCCCCGGCCCTGGAGTTACAAGAGGTTCTTCATAGGCTCACATGTTAATCATTTGCCCAGTGCATGCAAGACTGTGATTTTCATCCATATCTCAACCCTGGAAAGGCGGAGTTCAAGGAGTCATATAATAAGCTGGGCTTAAAGGGTGGTGATGGTTGGCAGCCTTGGTCCATGCTCCATCCCAATCCAGTGCTGGGCTCTTCTCTGCAGGCTGCGAAGGGCTGTGGGACAACATGAGCTGCTGGCCCTCCTCAGCACCAGCGCAGACGGTGGAAGTGCAATGTCCGAAGTTCCTCCAGATGCTCACGGGCAGAAATGGTAACCGTGCGGCTTGAAGGGCCCTGGCCAGAGGTTGCAATGGCTCCTGGATGAGAATGTAGGGGTCTTTGAGGACAATCAGTGGGGATGTTGTAATAAGGGCGGCGGGCCGCTTCCTGCCACCCGGCTAGCTTTACCCGAAATAATTACACGGAAACTGTATTCTTTTAAGCACTGCCTGGCCCATTAGTTCTAGCCTCTTATTGGCTAGCTCTTACATATTGATCTAACCCATTTCTAATATTCTGTGTAGCCCACGAGGTGGCTTACCAGGGAAGATCTTAACCTGCGTCTGTGTTGGGTGGGAGAATCATGGCGACTCCTTGACTCAGCTTCTTTCTCCCAGCATTTTGTTCTGTCTACTCTGCCTACCTAATTTTTTGTCCTATCAGAGGCCAAGCATTTTCTTTATTACTTAACCAATGAAACAACAGATAGAAAGATGGCCCTCCTCCATCATGGGGGAACCCATAAGGGGAGGTCTCTGGAGACCAGAACTGTTGCATGACTATGCTGTGCTGTATGAGAGCAGTTTTCAGGGTCACGGGAAGGAACTGGGAGACAGTGTCTTTAGGGAAGGCTGAATGCTGAGATCAGTGAGATAGCTCAGCATGCTACAGGGGCTTGCCGCCAAGTCTGTGGATCTGAGTTTGCTCCCCACGGCCCACGTAGTGGAAGAAGAGAATTGACTCCCACAACTTGTTCTCTAACCTCCGTACAGGTGTCCCAAAAAGTAATTTAATAAAGGAAGAGGAATAGGAGGAAGAGGAGGAGGAACAGGAGAAAGAGCAGGAGGGGAAGTGGAGGCAGCAGCCTTGGCCCCAGTTTAGGAACCCTCTCCCCTTCCTCCATATTTCTGTTTCCTCGGTGACCAGCTTCAGATACCCCACAGTGCCTGACATGAGGCACTTGAGTCCATGAAGCTTAGGACTCAGGCCATTCATGCCTCTGTGGTTGGCTTGGAGCCCTGTGCTGACCCTAACATCCAGGTGGCCAGCCAGGTTCCTGTTGAAAAGGACTTGTGTGTACGGACCATCTCCTCAAAGCCTTCTCTGAGCCGGCACACCTATCCTTCTGCAGCGTGGCTAGGAGAAACCCAGGATGACCAGAGGCTTGCCTGATCACACCCCTCCCCAGTTAACTGCTTAAATTCCAGCCCACCCCATTAACTGGAAGACTTCTGAATGTTTTCCACGCTGCAGCTTCACCTACCTACCACATGGTGTCACTGTGGGGCCGCAGGTTTATACTGAGGCCCTGCCTTGTAGGTGGTGGCCTGGTTCCTGGGTTGGTGGGAGGAACAGCTCATTCCAGGGACTCATACCTAGCCTCAGGGAGTTGGCTGGCCCAAGAGCATGGGTCAGGACCTGTCTGAGCCTGATGTTCACCAAGAATTTTTCTCTCCCACGGCTTTATCTTGGATCTGATCAGACATTTGCTCTCTGGCCCCCCAGAGAAGAAGGTTCCCTGTAGTGTGTCCCCCAGCTCCAGAGAGACGTACTCATGGACACCAGTCAGTATTCAGGGCAACTTCTTTGTGAACAAGGAAAACACATTCTAGAGTTATTTCCTAAGTAGTTCTTTACCACAGCAGTCCATACTGGCCCAGACAGGCATCTGAGTGGCTGGGAAAACTGCAGGCTGCTTTCTGCCTCGGATAGTTCTCATGCCAGCCTTAGAACTTCCTTTGACCGTCTCAATGTCCTTGAGACATTCCTTTGATTTGTTTTCCTTTGAAAACGGTACTGGCATTTTCAAAGTTTCTTGTTTAAAATGTAGTTAGCAGGATATGATCCCCCAGGCCTGTAATCCCAGCCTCTTCTGAGGCTGAGGCAAGAGGATCCCAAGTTTGAGGCCTTTCTGAGCAACTCAGTGAGACTCTGTCCCAAAATAAAAAGTAAAAGGAAGGGCTGGGGAGACGGCTCAGTTGGTAAAGCTTGCTTGCGGCACAAACACGAGGACCTGATCCCTACCGACCAGGGAAAAGCTTGGCACAGAGGGGCATGCCTGTGCTCTCAGTGCTGAGGAGGCAGGGGCAGTAAGATCTGGAGCTGGCTGGCCAGTCAGCTTAGAATACTAGGTCGGACTAGGTTCAGTGAGAAACCTTGTCTCAAAAAAATAAGGCGAAGAGTAGTCAAGGAAGATACTTTATGTCAGTATCTGACCTCCCAGTACACACACACACACACACACACACACATACACACACACACACACACACACAGTAAAAAAGTGTTAGAGATAAATTTTAGTGAGAAAGCTCTTGCCCAGCATGCCCCAGGCCTAGGTTCAATCTCAATCTCTCTCTCCCTTTCTTCTCCCATAGCCCCGCACATGTACAATCTCTCTCTCTCTCTCTCTCTCTCTCTCTCTCTCTCTCTCTCTCTATCACACACACACACACACACACACACACACACACACACACACACGTTTCTGGGTTGGATCAGGTGCTGATACAGCCTTTTAAACAAGTTCTGCCCTGAACTGCGATGCATGCGCATACAGACATGCAAACTGAGGCTTTCGGGGCTCTTAGGAAGGAATCCCTGTCCTTGTTAGGGATGAACCCCAGAAGAAGTGAGTGGAGAGAGGGGGTGGACAGAGCCCACCCTTTTGTTGTTCTATAGAGATGCTCCATCGGCACCACATAGGCTTGTGAAAGGCTCAGGAGCCAACCCCGAGTCACAGTCAGATATCTTGGGAATGCTACTGGGTCCCTGAGGATAGAGGGCCCTAGACAGGCAGGCAGCTGTGCTGGGTTGGGCCCATAGAGAGCCGCCATGTCAGCCTGTGCGGACAGCCTCTGGCTCTGGAGCCATTTCTATCCAGTCAGTGGACATTTGACCACCATTCTTTCCCATGCCACAGTCACTCCCCGACTTCATTCCAAAACTTTCTCACCCCTCCCCTGAACGCTAAGACTCTGTCCTGCTCATGCCTGCCTCTTGTGGGAAGGCTGCTTCTGGCTGGCACCAGCCTGGGCATTTCTTTACATCACTCTGTGGTGAGGGTGATGTGGGTAAAGCCTCATTAAGACCAAGAAACTGCACTGGGCAGAGAACTGTGATTCGGCCGATTCTAGGCTGGCAGTTCCAGCCTCCTGAACCTTGTAAGGGTGGACATGTCTAGGGCCCTAAAGACATGGCCTTCTGAGACTGGAGGCCACCGTGGAGTGATAGGGAGTGCCCCTGACGGGAGGGAGCTAGTGCTGGCACGCACCCTGGCTGTGCACTGCTTCCCAGTGCACCTTCACTGGGCTGTGGGATGAGAGCAGGATCTGTACAGAAAGAGTTTAGAACTGGACTGGTCTGAGAAAGGCTGTCAGAGTTTCTCCAGCTCAGAGCCTGTTGGACCCAAACCGCAAATGATGATCTAGGCCCTGGGGTCACTAAGAGAGAGAAAGTCAGGCCTAGCAATGATTGTCAAGGGGCCACTAGACAGAATTCCCATCCATGGAATCGGTGATGGCACCCTCAGTCTGTGAAGGACACAGGTCCTTGGTGACTGGGATGAAAATTCAGGTGGTCATTCAGACCAGGGAGGGCAGTGTCTGCTGGAACCTCCAGGAGGCCTTCCCTGGCTGGTGACTCCGCTCTGGCCAGTGGCTCTGCCCTGGCCAGTGGTTCCTTCCTGGCCAGTGGCTCCTTTCCTTTGTCTTTGGATGCTGGCTTTGAAAAGTCAGGTGGGGGACAGGAAAGGGTAGGTGTTAGAATGTGTATCTAGCACGCGGGAGGTCTTGGTGAAATCCCTAGAGCATACATGTGCATATACATACAAGCACACACATGTATTCCCACAGTGGGAAATTCTCCCTTCCTAGTGTACCCCATGCAGAAGGAAACTCAACCCAGTTCTCTATGAAAAGAGCTTGGCACAGGTCTGCCCACCTCACACCTTACTCTGCCTGTGAAGCAAGCCAGTGTTGATGCCCAAGAATTCGGGGCCACACTCTTAATTCTAGGAAATCATTACCCAAGTGTTCAGGGGAGTCAGGGTGCAGCGTTGTGCCAGGCAGGGATGGAGGACAGACAGTTTCAACTATCTCAACAGGCAGCCTTAATTGCAAGCAAAGGAATTCCTTCCACGAGGGGCGGTTGCCTGACAGACTTTGCCTTGGTGGTGTCTAATGGTTTCCATCTGGTAAACGAGCAGGACACAGTGGGCAAGTGTGAAGATGCAGAACCTTTAAAATATGCACTTGTAATGCCAGTGCCAGTGTGCAGAGGCAGGGGAATCCCCAGGACTCTCTAACCAGATGGATTAGTCTAATTGGCAAATTCCAAGTCCATAAGAGACTGTCTCAAAAAGCACCGGTGGATGGCATCTGAGGAATGGGACCCAAGGTTGACCTCTGACCTCACAGAGAGATGGGGGTAAGGGAGGGAGGGAGGGAGGGATGATAGACCAGAGGGAGGGAGGAGGAGAGAGACTGACAGAGAGGGAGACAGACAGACAGTGAAAACTGTGAGGGCCCAAGGATTCACTGTAACAGAAGCTGAGTTCTTGCGATCCACCCAGATGTCTCAGGACCCCTCTATTGCATCAGTAGAACTGGGGTGCAAGTAAGAATGGGGATCTGTACATGGTGTGAAGAGCAGACCCAACCCTGATTCTCCATTTACTGAGATAATGATGTAGGCAAGTTACGTCACTACTGCATGCCTCAATTTGCCCACCTGTAAAATGGTGGTAATATTTTCATGTCACCAGAGACTGTACTGTATGGTTCCATGGCCTGATCCCCCCTACTCATCTGCCGTACACTTGTCACCTTCAGGGTCCCTCTTCAGGAACTGCACCCAGGACGGCTGGTCAGAAACTTTCCCCAGGCCTGACCTGGCCTGCGGCGTCAACATGAATGACTCCTCTAACGAGAAGCGGGTAAGCCTGTCATGTGGCACCCGGGCCCCCGAGATGGGTGAATGCAGGATGAGGAAGACAGGACGTGGAAGTCAGAGAGGACCTGAGGCCAGGATTATCAGAATGTGCCGTCGCATCTCGTTCATAGGGTGCGGGGATGGAGCCCAGGGCTTGGTGCACTCTGGGCAGGCAGCGCTCAACGGGCTGAGTCCCATCTCTGCTCAAACTTTGTTATTTTGGTTAAAACCCTCCTCTGTCCTCCGGCTGACGATGACATGTCCTGCTTGGCTTTTCCTCCTTCCTTCCTTCCTTCCTTCCTTCCTTCCTTCCTTCCCCCTCCCTCTCTTCGTTCCCTCCTTTCTTCCCTCCTTCCTTCCTTCCTTCCCTCCTTCCTCTCTTCCTTCCTTCCCTCCTTCCTCTCTTCCTTCCTTCCTTTCTTCCTTCCCTCCCTCCCTCCCTCCCTCCTTCCTTCCCTCCTTCCTCTCTTCCTTCTTTCCCTCCTTCCTCTCTTCCTTCCTTCCCTCCCTCCCTCCTTCCTTCGTTCCTTCCGTTCTTTCTTTTCCCGTCCTCTTTCCAGGCATGTGTTACTAGAGTATTGACAAATGTCAGGCTTAGACTGATAGAAAGACTAGGTAACAGATGCCCCTTAAGTGTCTACAGTGTCTAGGGCATCTACTCACAACAAAGATTGCCAGACTGCGGCCTTGGGCCATGAGCAGCTTTCACAAATGAAGATTTGTTGGTACAGAGCCAAGTTCATTAGTACCGCAAGGCTGCTTCTGTGTGACAGGGACAGGGCTGAGTAGTTGCGGGAGACCGTGTGACACCTTGACCCTAAACTATTTACTGTCTCTTCATAGGAAACGATTGCTGTCAGCTGAGTAAAGGGCACAGCAAACAGGTGGCATTGCCAGGTTCCAAGACAGAGAGCAGGGGTGTTCCTGGACTCTGAGCCCTCTAGGGCCAAGGCACAGCTGCAGATGTTAGAAGCTGAGGGAACAAGGGTCACATGAGAACTCCTGGGAATCAGGGTCATGCTGGGGTCAGACCTCACACGTATGAAATCAGGGCTCAAGGTCACTTAGTACTGAATAGGAGAAATTATTCTGCCAGGACACTTCACACAGTCAGCATGTGCCTTCTTGGTCTCCCATGAACTGGTGTGGGCAACACAAGACCAGACTGCCACCCTCAGTGGTGTGGGCCTCCCTGTGCCAAGTTTCAAACTGAAGGAAAGAGCGTGGTGTAGCGGCTGAAGGAAGAACATGGTGTAGTGGTTAAGAGCATGAACCTCGGGAGCTGGGATTGCACACCACCAGGCACCCAAGAACTTGTCAAATTCCACAGATCTCTTTCTTTCCTTAATTTTTTTAAAAAGCAGTCTCAGACAGTCCGGGCTGGCCTCAATCTCCCTAAATAGCCCAGAATGCCTAGAACTCCTTTTCCTCCTCCCTGGTCTCCACAGTACTGGAATTACAGGCTCACTACCCCGTGCCTGAAGTATGTGGTGCTAAGACTCAAACTCCCAGCTTTTAACCTGCTAGGCAGGCATCCTATCAGCTCTCCGTCATCTTAGGAAGGAGACACTCCACCCCTACTGAACCAGTCATCTCCTCTCCAGCCCCCCAAACTGTTGCCAGTCACAACCATTCCCCACCCAGGTTGGCCTCAAACTCCTTATGTAGCTGAGGTGACTGTGAACATCTGATCCTCCTGCTTCCGTTGTGATGAATGACAGACGTGTGCACCATGCCCAGTTTATATGGCTGGAACTCAGCCGTGTCCCAGTCCTACTGGGTTCTTTGGTGTCCCAGACTTTAGGGGTCATTAATCTAAGGCCTTCATACTTCTCATCACCCCTGAGAGGTGGCCTTTGACTTCAGGGACAGTTGCTGAAGGAGGGGGGGCTCCACCCCACACAGTTGGCCTCACATGGAGAGTCTTCTGATGCCAAAATGTCCCTGTTTATTCTGAGTGGAAATCTACACGCACGCAAGCTTCCTGCACTAGGGCTCACGCAGGGAGTCTTACATTTTATCTTGTCAATCATGCTGATACTTTCCTCCTAAACTGTCAGCACTCTACCACCCCACACACTTGGCTTTTCCCGTGTACTCCGGGTGAGGCAACCGATCGTTGTCTTCCCAAAGCACCCAGATTCGTTAAGTTGCCTCCTAAAATAACATGCTTGCACTCATGACTTCCCAATGACATGGCCACCTGTTCAGTGCATTCTATTAGTGAAAGAGAAAATAAGTCCATTTTTATTTTTGGAGGCTAACTCATACCTCAGAGTTCCTACCATCTGACCCTGCTGACTCACGCTGAAGGGTGGATGGCGCTGGGGGAAGTACCCCATGCCAAGGGGCTTCTGAATGCCAAGCATTGTAGACACAGACCATCTCGTAGCTTCTTCTCATTTTCAACAAGCCTGCAGGGGAGAACATCTGATTTCCGCTTTGACGATGAAGAATCTGAGTCATTTGCTCAGGGGCTGGCCTTCTTGGGTTTGGAAGCCCGGCTTGTTTCCCTCCTGTCTACCGTGTGATGCTGCAGAACGTGGGCCGTTCCCATCCCAAGCCCTAGATGTGCTAAGTCAGGAAGGCTCCCTGCACAGATCTGGTGCCTTAAAGCTGCAATTCCTCTTCTCATTCGCTTACTAATCAGCACTCATCAGCTGTAGAAAATGCCAGCACAGAAGAGAACGGAAGGAACTTACAACTCTGCTCAGAACCAGGAGACCAAGGTCTTGCTGGCACGTGACATGTCTCCTTACCATGTGACACATCTCTCCTTACCATTTTTTAAAGGAAATTTTGATCACATTTTTTGTTTGTGTTGTGGGGGAGGGGTTGGCTCCTGTACCCCGGCTCAGAGGACCTGCTGGCTCTGCAGCGATCTGTTCTCTCCTTCCATTACATGGAACTGAGCACTGAACTCGCTCCACCGTCTGTCTGAAAGTGTCTTCCCTCGACAAGCAACCCTACCAGCTCACCGCAAGCTTGTTTTTAATGAAGATAAGAAATTGAACCCCACAGATTGGCTGATACCTTTTCCCCCCAAGACAAGGTCTTGTGTACCATAGGCTAGCCTCAAACTCACTATGTTACACAGCTCCATAGATTTTTAAAAAGTGATTATAAGGCCTAATCACAGGATATATAAGTGCAGGTCCCAGGCAAGACCCCCCAGAACGTGATATTCAATTTAAAAACAAAACTGTTTTGCCCAAATAGAGAATTCCAGTGGCTTGCTTTATTCCTTTCCCGTCAGGGTTTCATGTAGTCAAACATGGCTTTAATCTCTGCGTGGCCAGGAAGAACCTGAACTTTTGACCCCTCAACCTCTACCTGCTTGTTCACCCCCAAACCCACTTTCTGAAGTGTGGGGGATGGAAGCCAGGGCTTCTCCCATACTAGACAAGCAGTCTGCAAACCGAGCTCCAGCCCCAGCTACCCAATCACACTGATCACAAAAATTTCCACCTATCATAATTCAACCCTTCTGTCCATATAGCTGAAATCACACAGTGCTTCAAGTCTGTCTCCCGTTTTTGTGTTCACCGGGAACAGGCCCTGACTTCTTTAAAATCTCACTGGAAGCATCACTTTAACCCTGGAAGAACATTAGAGATAGCATAGGTCAGCCAGGCGGTGGTGGCACACAACTTTAATCCCAGCACTCGGGAGGCAGAGGCAGGTGGATGTCAGTGAGTTTGAGGCCAGCCTGGTCTACAAGAGCTAGTTCTAGGACAGGCTCCAAAGCTATAGAGAAACCCTGTCTTGAAAAACCAAACAAAAAGACATGTAGGTTAAGATAGCATACAACATTCTGCTGTTGGGCGCTGGAAGCTTCTATCACAGTAGCTCTGTAGTGAACATCTTTATGGACAACACAATGGAGAAAAGGGCTTCTTCCAGGCTTGATGATGTTAACACAGAAAAAAATAAATATAATCTTAAAAATGTCTTTATAAACAAATATTTTTCTGAGGATTTTTGTGCCTCAGTATCCTCATGGCACTGGTTCTGGGAAACCTATGTATACCCAAATCTGAAGATACTCAAATCTCTTACATAAAATTGCATAATATCCACATGGCACTTATGCACATCCTTCCATGTACTCAAATCCACCTCTAGTGTGGAATGTACCCTGGGCGCTCTAGAACAGTGGTACTGGAGTCTCTAGGGAATGAGAACAAGGATCAGTGTCTGCACATGCTTGGGACAGAAAGAACTTGGTTTTTTATTTTTGTACTTATTTATCCCATGTTGGGGGCATGTGTCATGGCACATGTGTGGAGGTCAGAGGACAACTTACAACCTGGTTCTTTCCTTCCACCATGGGGGTCCCAGGGGTAGAATTCAGAGGGTCAACCTTGATGACAAATACCCTTTTCCACTAAGCCACCTCACCGGCCCAGAAACAGCTCCCCATCCCCAACATTTTAAAATTGTGGTTCATTGGCTATGTAGACACAGAACCTGTGACTGTGGAGGGTGACTCAGGTTTTTAGAATTAACTCCTGGAGAGTTGTTCAGGGACTCCGTTGGTAGAGTGCTTGTTTAGCGTGCAGGAAGCCCTGGCTTCCAGCCCTGGCACCGTGAAAGCCTAGCAGGGGGGCACACACCACTTGGGAGGCAGCATTAAGAAATCTAGTAGTTCAAAGTCACCATCAACTACAGAGCAAGTCTGAAGCCAGCTTGGTAGCCACAAGAGAGACCCTGTCACAAGATAGAAGGGAGGCCAGAAGAAGCGCCCATCTCAAAGGTCCTCAGTGCGTATCTCCACATTCTTTCCTTGAAAATTGAACCAGTTTTCATTCCCACTGTACCCTCATCTTTGTAGAGTATTATTAATTTTAAAATCTCTCAATTTTGGTTGTTAATATTACCATCATTTTAATGTACATTTCTTCAACCCACCTTGACTATTGTACCTGGACCTAAATGCAGGTCTTACCTCTTTTTGGTTCAGTATTCCTTTCTACTGCAATATTTTTGCATCAGTGTGAGGAGGCGGTGACTGGGTAAATGTCACACCACTGGTAGTGTAGGGCATAGGTCGAGGTGACGCTCCTCTGCTTCTTCCTTGTAGCGCTGTATAGTAAAGTGCTTCTTTTTGCCATTTAGAGATATTTTATTTTTATTTATGTGTATTGCACATATATGTGCATATGTGTAGGTGCCCCTGGAGGTCAGATGTGTGTGTCTGCTCTCCAGGAACTGGAATTACTTACAGGTGGTTGTGAGCTGCTTGACGGAGATATGGGAACCAAACTTGGGCCTTCTAAAGAGAAGCAAGCTCTCTTGAGCGTTGAGTCACTGCTCCAGCACACCGAGCAGCAACAAACCTCGCCGTTTTAATGAAGTGAATGAAATGGTGACAGGTGTGGAAAGAGGCGAGAAATAGGCAAGGGATGCAGAGCAGGCTGTAGAGGGACGGTGGGAAGAGGAGTTTTATTTGAAACTGGCAAGGCATTGCATGCAATTACAACTTTCCTAAAGACAACACCTTCATCTAGAAGACTAATTGAATAGGTAGTTCTAGAAAGAAAGAAAAAAAGAAAGGAAGGAAGGAAGGAAGGAAGGAAGGAAGGAAGGGAAGAAGGACTAATAGGTGGACCACAAAAGCTAGCTACCTTCAGGGCTACTTAAAAGGATTCGGAGCTAGGTTTGGTGGTGCACACCTTTAATCCCAGCACTAGGAGGCAGAGGGGGAATCTCTGAGTTAGAGGCCAGCCTTGTCTGAGGACAAGGACAGCCAGGAATACACAGAGAAACCTTGCCTTTTAAAACAATAACAAGACCAAGATTCTGGAGGGGACTGATATCACACACCTTCAATGCATGCACTTAGAAGGTATAGGCAGAAGGATCGGGAGTTCAAGGTCATCTTCAGTTATATGGTGTTCAAGGCCAGCCTGGAATATGAGAGACCCTTTCTCAGAACAAAACAAGAGCTGGAGGTGTAGTTAAGTTGAAAGAATGCTTGCCTTGTATGCATAGAGCTATGTGTTTGATTCCCAGCACCATACAAACCAGGCATGGCAGCAGGAGTTAATTCTAAAAACCTGAGTCACCCTCCACAGTCACAGCCAGAGTTCAAGGTCATCCATGGCCTCGTAGAAAGTTTGAGGCTAGCCTGAGATACATGAAACCCTTTCTCAAAAAAAAAAAAAATTATGCCAAGTATGGGCAGTGGCGGTGCACGCCTGTAATCCCAGCACTTGGGAGGCAGAGGCAGGCAGATCTCTCTAAGTTCGAGGCCAGCCTGGTCTACAAGAGCTAGTCCTAGGATAGGTACCAAAGCTACACAGAGAAACCCTGTCTCAAAAAGCAAACAAACAAAATTCCAGTATTTTGCATTGTTGTATGCCAAATGCCTTCCTCCAAAAGTTGTGAGGAGCTTGTCTCTGGAAGTAATCCAGTAAAGTCTTGCATTCATAGTGCTGGTAAAGGGACCTACTAACAGGCATCAGAATAGCAGTCAAGATTGTCAGGATCAATGCTGCCTCAAGCCGGTACCCTGGGACACAGAAGGGCTGGCTATGGCCGGATGGGCAGGTAGGGCTGACCTGTGCCTCTCTCTGCAGCATGCGTACCTGCTGAAGCTCAAGGTCATGTACACGGTAGGCTACAGCTCCTCCTTGGCCATGCTCTTGGTCGCCCTCAGCATCCTATGCACTTTCCGGTGAGTCCCCCAGCCTTCAAGTCTTCCTAACTACTCGGGATGGAAAGAGGGAGGTCTTGGTGGGCTGCCTGGCCATCTTGTGAAGCTCAGGACAGCTATAAATGTGACTCAACACAAAATCAGAAACTTAAAATGTATTTTTTACAACTCAAAAAAGCAGCAAATTTGTAGATGACAATGCGCTGATACAACGTCATACAAAATGAATGTATGTAAACATATGTAAGTCCTCCAATCCAGAAGGCTGCAGTTGGAGCCCTGGATTTACTGTGCACACTAAGACAATTCTTTGTTCAGTGCAGTCCAGAGAAGCTGAAAGGTTGGACACACCCTGTTTAAGCTTCCTTGAGGGTCGAGGGGTGTGGTTCAGTTGGTAAAGTGCCTGCCTAGCAAACCCAAGGCCCTGGATTGGATCCCCTGCTCTCTATCAGCTGGCCAGGGTGACACATCCCTGTGGCCACCCCAGCTGGAGGTGGGAGGATCAGAAAGTCATAATCCTCCTTGACTACATAGGTAAGGGGAAGCCAGACCAAGGTGCATAAGATCCTATCTCAAAATGAGACAATGGCAGGGAGGACCAGCAACAAACCTCCAGCCCCTAGAGCACAGAAGAAAATTCAGAAACTGGTGGCAGTGGCTGGTCAGGGCCGAAGACGGGCTGCTGTTACAAAACTCGTGATCGTGTTATCTGTTCTGCTCTGGTCTATTCTATTTTGAGTCACGGTCTCACCATGAAGTCCCTACTAGCCTAGAACTTGAGATGATCCATCTGCTTCCACTGCCAAAGTGCTAGGTTGACAGGCATGCACCACTATGCCTGGTTATCTTTTCCTTTGTGACTTCAGTACAGTACAGGGTGCATCGGGCACCTAGAGACCTATGCCCTCATGCAGGTTCTGTTAACAGAGCGCTAGGACCTGAGGGCTGTGGCGGGGCTTTGGTTTCCTCATGCCAGGGGAGGAGCAGGGCAGGTGGACCTGTCAGAACACCAGCCCCTCTCCATGGTCTTGCAGCCCCACATTCTCTCTGACAGGAGGCTGCACTGCACCCGCAACTACATCCACATGCACCTGTTTGTGTCCTTCATCCTGCGAGCCCTGTCCAACTTCATCAAGGATGCAGTACTCTTCCCCTCGGATGACGTCACCTACTGTGATGCCCGTAGGGTAATGTGCCTAAGTGTCCTAGACTGACCTTGGAGAAGACCAAACCCCGTAGCTTGTCATCCTCCCTGCAAGCATCCATTAAGATCACACAGATGATCCAGGGAAAAGGTGGTGTTTTGCAGGACATGGAGGTTCCAGGAGGTTCCGGAAGGTTCCATAGGGTTCCGCAGCCATGGAGACACAATGTCAGTCATGTGTGTGGGGAATCAGTGGAGGCCCCGTTAATTCCCAGTGCTCAGGAGTGGGCCAGCCACCCTGGGAACTAGAACTGTGGTCAGACTTCCCTGGACTCCTGCCAGCTCCCGAAATGGCAAAGTCTGGAGGGGGAAAGTGCCTGAACATCTGCATACCCAGGCTTCTAGAAAAACATCATTTCCCTAAGTGATTTTCTTCCACCCACTGTCTAGATGCCGCTTAAGCCACTGCACTCTCTCTGCGTGTCACCCGGCATCCCTGACCGCTCATCATAAGCTCCTCACTGATGAAGACTCCTAGTGACTCAAAGTTTTGCCCTCTGTCTGTCCTGCCCGGATGTGGGCCTTCAACCTCAGGCTTTCACCTCAGGGTTACAATATGGGTGCTGCACCTCCAAATTTCACGTCCATATTCTGGGCAAGGAAGAAGGCTGCAGATTAAATAGTTTATTTTCATTTTGAGAGATTTTGCTTTTTTATTTATCTCCCGGAAAGTACACGCATGTGCGCACACACACATGCAAACACGCACACTCAGAAGAAGGAAAGTAGTTTTGTTAATTTTGACTTATCACCCCACTCTCTCCCTAGGAGATAATGTCCTTCTTGGAAAATGAAGGTGTTGGTCAGCACTGGGGGGTTTTCTCTGAAGGAATGCAAGGATCAGGGCCAGTTCATAATTGGAATCTACTTCCTGATTTCTGGCAGATCCTAGGTCATCCTCCCTGGACCTGGGGGCTTGCAGTCTCTAGAGAACACTGTGGGCCTGGTCTCCTGACCAAGGAAAGCTTCAGGAGAACCCTTGAGTGTGTTCATTCCTGTGTGTACACATGCTTGTGCATGAGTGTGTCCATACATGCAGAGATGCAAGGTCAAACTCAGATAGCCTTCCGCAGCCTCTGCCTCTTTTATTCTTTGAGACTGGGTCCATTACCAGCCCAGAGCTCCCCAGTCTGCTAGTTTGGCTGGCCAGTGAGCCCCAGGATCTGCCTGTCTCCACCTCCCTAGTGTTGGGATTTCAAGCTTGTACTATCTGCCTTTTAAAAATGTGGGTTCTGGGAATCAAACTCAGGTCCTCATGGCTGTGCAGCAAACCCTTCACCCCATGAGCATCTCCAGAGCCCTGTGAAGACAGTTGCACCCCTTGAGTTTCACTCCTCTAGACCTGCCTCCTACCAGGCAGTGCTGTTTTCTTTGGGAGTAGTTACCCAAGGGAGGCTCAGCCACCCACCCCCGGCTCATGCGCCTATCTCTTCCAGGTGGGTTGTAAGCTGGTCATGATCTTCTTCCAATACTGCATCATGGCCAACTATGCGTGGCTGCTGGTGGAAGGCCTCTACCTTCACACGCTCCTCGCCATCTCCTTCTTCTCAGAGAGGAAGTGTCTGCAGGCCTTTGTGCTCCTCGGATGGGGTATGTCTGTCCATGGGTGCTGTGCGTGTGTGGTTTGCAGGAAAGGACGCTAAATTGAGAGCCAGGAGGACTTGGTTTCTAGTTGCAGCTCCATTCATCCACCCATCAATCTGTTCACCAAACCATCCACCATCTATCTACCCACACATCCATACCCACCTACCCACTCATGTATCTATCCACCCATTCACACACCCACCCACCATCCACAGACTCATCCATCCATCCATCCATCTATCCACCCATCCACTCATGCATCTCCTACCTTCTCATCCATTCATCCCCCTATCTACCCAACCACTAACCCATGTATCCTCTCCTTCATCTGTTCACCCATTCATCCAACCTGTAGAGTATGTACAGAAAGAAACCAGGGATTTAGTGTCTGCTCCCAGACCCGCATTGAACTAACTTAAGTAATCTTTGGCAAATTGCTGGATGGTTACCCTCTAACCTCGGGGTTTTTTTGTTTTTGTTTTTTGTTTTTTTTTTTGCCTTCCAAATGTGAAATCAGAGCTGTAATTTAGTGTCAACAGAATGCTGAGCATCCTGAGCTTTTTCCAATTTTATTCTGCCCAGCACTGGTCTCATCTTACACAGATAATTCATGCTTGTGTCCTCTTTATGTTTGAGCTCAGGAGACATGGCTCAGACAAACTTCAGCAGGAAGGGAACAGGCCAGCTCACATAACTGATGAGTACATAAACCATCAACTTCACACCAAGCTGAATACAGGCGTTAAATGTTTTTCCTTCTGCTATTACACTGCCATTTGTAACAGTGGCTTTATTCACACTGTTTTCCATGTTACCACCAGGAGCTTTGTGGGATGCCTGGTTCTCACTACCAGGCTCCCATAACACAAAGACAAGGGACCTCTGCTTGCGCGCATGCACACACACATACACACACACACACACACACACACACACACACACACACAGTCGCCCCACCCTTCTCTGAACTGCTCTGCAGTTCATTCTGGTTGAGTCACATGACTCTCACCCATGTGACTGAGATGACCACAGGGCTCTAAGAGAACTGAGTGCACCATGGCCATAGGCCACTCAAACCACCTGGTTTCCAAAGGATGCTAAGGATTTAGTTTCTAGGACAGAGAACATGACAGCCAGCCAGTTGTGCAAAGGCCCCACTGCATATTTTCCTCCTCTTCTTTCTGGCCAAGGGAAATAACTCCCATTTCTAGAACACTTATTCCAGGTGGTGGCTTGGTGCTTTACACTGGTCACTTAATCAATTCACCAACCTCCAGAAGTCATTCAGAGACTTAAGCTCAGAGATGGGATGTATATACTCAACTCACACTGTAGACAAGGGTGGATTCAGGGTTACCAGACAATAACAAACATCCACCCATCCACTCTGTCACTAGGCACCAATATCTATCTGTCTATCCATCCAGCTACCTACTTATGAACACAGTATATACCCACCCTCCCATACTACACAATACACCTATCCACATAGTCACACATCCACACACCTCTCCATACATCTATCTAACCATCCATCTGTCCGTCCACCCACCTATCTATCTACCCATTCATTATTTTGATTTAGCACACAATAAGTAACCTCAAGGTTCTAAGTCGAATAAGGTTCCTGGGAGTGGTTCCCAGTTTCATTTGGTTTCTGCCTGGTGCCTTTACCTATGAAGTGTCCCTGCAAGGGAAGCCTTCTTCTGGTGTTTCTGTTTGTCTAAATCTCTACAGGCTAGAGTCTCTTCTCTCCATCAGACCAGCAAGAAGGCTGGCAAAACACACTGTGCCCTCCTGCTCCAGAATTTCGGCCTGTTTAGCCCATGACCCTTGACCAGCAGAGGCTTGCAGGACCATGCAGGTATCTGCATAGGCGGGTAATCCCATGAGGACCAGGGACTTGCCTTGACTGCCCCTGATTTGGAAGGCAGCTCACTGAGCTCCATAGCTCTAAACTGTCAGAGTTTGAGAAATCTGTAAGATCAGGACCATTATTGACTCAACATTAAGCTGTTCTTTGTGCTCCAAACTCACAAAAATACAGGGATTAAGGCTGGGGGTGTGGTCAGTTGGTAGAGCACTTGCCTTCTGTTCATGAATCGGCCTGGTTGGTGGTATACACCTGTAATCCCAGGATCACAAATACGAGGCCACTCTCTTAGCCACACGGTGAGTTCAAGGCCAGTCTGAGCTACAGGAGATGGTGTCTCCATTTATATTCACTAAATCAACATAAAGGTTACTGACACCAGATTGCCAACCCCGTCACCCCCAGGACTTCAGTCAAGTAAGAGATGTAACAGTGTTCGGGACTGGGACAGGGTCTCCTGCGTACTACACAGATGCTCTACATTGGGGCCACACTCCCCAGCCCTGCTCTTCAGTTCTGTTGATGGTTCCTCCTAACATTTATTCTCATGTTTCTCCCTTCGTGGGAGGAGGGGCACTTGAGAGGGGGCATGTGTGTGCATCCCAGTGGACAACCCAGGCATCATGTCTTGGAATCCATCCACCAGGAAGATGGGTGTTGAACTTTCCAAGTGCTAGGTGAACGGGTGCTCAGGCTCCAGGACTCTGCCTGTCCCCACCTTCCCAATACTGGGATTACAAGTGTGCTTCACCTCCACCTCCCCAGTGCTGGGATTACAAGCATGCTTCACCTCACACAACTGTTTTTCAAGTTCTGGGAGTTGAACTCAGGCCCCTATGCCTGCAAGGCAAGCATCTTATCAATGGAACTATCTTCCCGACCCCCATTCTTACATTTCTAAACAACATACCACTCTTCCTTAATCTGTCCATCTGAGATATTATTTTTGCCTTCTGATGGAAAAGATACAAAACTCCACATCCACACTTATATTCCCAGTTTTCATAGCTGTCGCTCAAGCCCACATATTCATTTACATATTCAGTGTGTACATTATCAGAACTGAGAAAATACTGTTTACTGCTGAGCCAGGTGGCATGCAATTATTTTGTTTTCTATTTATTTAACTTTTTTCCTGGAGTCATATTTTATCTGTACATTATCATTGTTTGATACAGATGTGAGTGACTCAGAGTTTACAGAGAGAATCATGTTCCCCAACCACTAGCTGCATTTGGCTTCCCCTGGTGCCTATAAATATTTTCTAATTATTTGTATGTACCTGTGTGTGTGTCTGAGTATAATGCCTATGGAGGCCAGAAGAGGGCATCAGATTGCCTGGAAGGGGACTTTCAGGCAGTTGTGAGCCAACCATCTGGGTGCTGGGAGCTGGACTCTCTAAAAAAGCAGCAAGTAATCTTAACCACTAAGTCTCTCCAGCTCCTCTCCCTCCTTCGTGTACTTAATAAGCGTCTCTACCTCATCTGACTCTTCTGCTTGTCTAAATCTCCATGTGCTAGGGTCTTGGCTCTCCATTAGACCAGCAGGGAGGTAGCTGGTTAGATTATTTTTTACTAATTCTTCCAAATCCTCTGAAAAAGCTTGCAGTATTATTTTCCAAATCATTAAATACAAAGGAAACCCCTAAGCTCTTACATGCTTTGTCAACCTGAATTTTGTGTGTATTTGTGTGTAGTGTGTGTGTCTGAGCATGTATATGTCTTGTGGTGTGTGTGTGTGTGTGTGTGTGTGTCTGGTGTGTGCAGGGTGTGTCTACTTGTGTGTATGTCTGGTGTGTGTGTATGTCTGGTGTGTTATGTCTGGTGTGTGTATTCTGGTGTGTGTGTATGTCTGGTGTCTGTGGTGTGTGCGTGCACTCATGTATGCAGAAGTCAAAGGTTTATGTCAAGTGTCTTCCACTGCCACTCTCCAGCTTATCTGTTGAGTAGGTCTCTCCCTGAACCAGAGCAGACTGATTGACTAGACAGGAGAGACAGTGAAGTCCAGGGATGCCCCCGTATCTGCTTCCCTTCTCTTCCATGCTAAGACACCTAGTACCATGTCCAGTTCTTTTAAAGATATATTTGCTTCTATTGTATGTTATGAGTGTTTGCTTTTGTGTGTGTATGTGAACCATATGCATACCCGGTGTCCACAGAGATCAGAACTGGTGGGTATCAGGTCTTCTTGAACTGGAGTTACAAACAGTTGTGAGTCACTATGTGTGTGTGCTGGGAACTGAACTCAGGTCCTCTGCAAGAACAGCAAATGCTCTGAACCGCTGAGCCATCTCTCCAGTTCCCTGTGGTGCTGGGGTATGAACTCAGGTTCGCCTGCTTGTACAGGAGTATTTTTACTGACAGAGCTCATTTCTCCAGGAATGTATACCTAAGATTTTGAAAAGCAATTAGAGAGAGATGTTGTCTAAAGACTGGTTTCAAAAATGCCAGGGTTAGAGATGTATCTCAATGGTACAGTCCTGCCTAGCATTCTGGAAGCCCTGAGCTTGGGCCCCACACCACAAAAACATTAAGTAAAAATGAGAGATGTTTTTGTGTTTTCAACTGTCACAACTGTTACTATGATACAGCTTCCCTCCCCTGCCCTTCCCTGCCCTCCCCTCTTCTCCCCTGTCCTCCCATATCCTCCCCTGCCCTCCCCTGCCCTCCCCTGCCCTCTCCTGCCCTATTCTATTACCCTGTCTTCTCCAGAAGCAGGTCTCCATTTCTTTTTCTTGCAGTTTTGTTTTGAGATAGGAACTCACTATCTAACTCAAGTTGACCTTGAGCATACAACCCTCCTCAAGGCTACAGTTATAGGACAGTTGTCCTTCTTTCCCTCCCTTCCTCCCTCCCTCCCTCCCTCTCTCCTATCCTCCCTCACTCCCTCTCTTTTTTTTTTGTTTAGTGTTAATAATGTATTTAATGTGTGTGTGTGTGTGTGCATGAGTGTGTGTGTTATGACATGTGTATGGAGAGACAGAGGGCAACTAGCAGGAGTTGATCCCCTCCTCCACCATATAGGTCCTTAGGGTGCAACTCTGAGCCATCTGACAGACCATGTCCTTGGACCTGCGTTACCTCTTAGACCTTCCCTTCTGCCCTGGCTTCACTCTCTGTGGAAGCTCTGTAGCCACGGGTACAGTCTCCCTTATTCTAAGTTCCCGCTCTGCCTCCTGTGGTTCTGTTGGCTTCTGCTTTCCGGGCATTTCTTGCCTTTATCTTCCAACTCTTCTACTGAATGTTTATCTTGGAAATCGTAGATTTGTTTCTCTGCCCTCTTTCTTGTCCTCTGGATGCTCCCAATTGGCAGCATCCTGTATCTCTTGTAGATGTTATCTTTCCTGACTCCTTGTGATCTCCCTGGGGTTGTTTTTGTTCAGGTTCCTTCTGCTCCCTGTCTGATCTGTTTCCTCTCAATTCCTTTTCTCTGGTTGTTTTGTTTCCAGCTTTTGCTGTAATCTGATGTCTGTGACCTTGGCTCTCTGTTAATAGATAAGAATGACTTAGTCCATTCTTGTCCATTCCCCCAGGGTACTAAAAACTGCATTTATTTGTTTATCATGTACAGGTGTGTGTGTGTGTGTGTGTGTGTGTGTGTGTGTGTGTTTGCGTGTGTTGTGCATATACATACACATGTCACAGTACACATGTAGAGGTGAGAGAATAGTTTGTAGGAGTCAGTTCCCGAGTCCAGGGAACAAACAAGCCATCTCAGCAGCCCTGCTTCTCCGCCTTTGTCTAGGGTCATTCAGTTTATTCAGAAAAGCATCCTTTAATGCCTTTGGTTGGAGTCAGGGGAGCAGAGTGAGGTAGAGATTTGCCTACTAGAGATCTAAACATAGAGTAGTCTGGGTGCCTGACCTCTCTCCATCCATTGTGTAGATCAGCAAACCTGTGAGAATCATTGAATGAGCCACAGTGAAAAACAAAGCAAGTGGGCACAGCGGTGCACTCCTGGGGCCTTAGCCACTTGTGAGGCTGCAGCAGGAGGATGGCTTGAATCTAGGCATTGGAGGCCACTAGACAGCACAGTGAAACCTCATCTTTTCAAACAGTCAGAGCGTAGAGCGCTTGCCGAGCATGCACAAAGTCCTAGGTTCGGGCTCCAGCACCCAGCATGGTGGTGCATACACCTGTAATCTCAGTTCTCAACAATTAGAGGCGGAAAATCAGGAGTTCAAGGCCATCTTCAGTTACATATTGAGTTCTGGGTTAGCGTGGGCTAAATGAGATTGTCTCAAAGAAAAAGCAAAGCAAATAGCCAGACCTAATGTTGTGGGGCCCCGGTGCCAGCTTTTTATGTGGCTTCTGGGAATTCAGATTCAGGTGTTCCTGATTGCACAGAAAACATTCTCACCCATTGAGCCATCTCCCCAGCCCCAAACGACAAGGTTTATGAGTCAATTCTTTAACAAAGTCAATGGCTTTTCCACCAGCTGGATTCTCTGTCTTCCCCATTCTGCTGGGTATATCCCATTTCAAACCAGGGCCTCACCAAACTGCATCCATGTGCCTTCTCTCCTAGAAGTCCTCAGGAATCTGGCCCAGGCTCCCGGGAGTATCCTAACCCCAAGTGGCTTTCAGGTTCCGTAAAAACCCACTGCAGTTCTTAGGATAGTAGCATGTGGCTGCACACTGATGCAAGATGATAAAGAGGGTTTCCATGGAAACCAAACCTTGTCATCCACCTGGTACCCGGATAAGGATAAATGCCCGCTCACTGTGCCTGAGTTCTCTCTCCCCTACCTGGATTAGTTGCTTGTCTTGCTGCTGTGGGAAAATATCCGGACAGAGGCAGCTTAAGAAAGGATTGTTTGTCTCACAGTTTGAGGGGAGAGTCTGTCATGGCCACGCAGGCAGGGCAGCAGGAACCTGAGGCAGCTGCTCACACGGCATCCACAGTCGGGAAGCAGAGGGATGAACACTGGTGCTCAGCTCACTTTCTCCTTATTCAGCCTAGAACCCCAGTCCATAGAACGGTGCTGCGCACATTTGGGGTGGGTCTTCCTGCCTTAATTAGCCTTACCTAGATAGTTCCCTGAAGACACACCCAGAGTTCTGTCTGTTCGGTCATTCTAAATTCCATCAGGCTACTGTCAACATTAAACATCATACTGTGCCTCCCTTTTGTTTTGGCCTTCAGGTTCTCCAGCCATTTTTGTTGCTTCATGGGCTATCAGCCGGCACTTTCTGGAAGACATCGGGTAAGCTGGTAGGAGGAGGAGCAAGAACACTATACAACATTTTACAGTCAGTCTCTACGGCAGCTGGCTCTGCAGCTGGGAATTCACCTAACCTCACACATGCTTGCCTAGCATGCAGGAAGCTCAGAGTTTGATTCCAGCATTGCATTAACTGGATGGAGCAGAGGAGGACAGATGTATCTTCAGGATTAAAGAATTTGTTAGTTATGTGGATATGCGCAGATGTGTGCGTGTGAGTGCAGATGCCCACGGAAGCCGAAGACACCACTGGATCCCCTGGATCTGGGATTACAGTAGTTGTGAGCTGTCCTACATGGATGCTGGGAACTGAAGTCAGGTTCTCCGCAAGAGTAGTATGTGCTCTCAACCACTGAGCCATCTCTCCAGCCCTGAGAGGAACAGATCTCAATGGTGGAGGGCACAGTGTGAGGGCTAAAGACATAAACACAGTCTTCCTTCCGAGGGTGGCACTGGGAAACGTGTCTGCCAGTCAATCAGTTCCCCACTCCTAATGATGCCCAACACTCTCTTCTCTTCCGTAGATGCTGGGACATCAACTCCAACCCTTCCATCTGGTGGCTCATTCGAGGGCCTGTGATTCTGTCCATTCTGGTAAGTGGCCATTCTCTCCTGAGCTGGGGACAAGTAGGGGAACACTGGATCCGTGAAAAACAGAGGGTTGGATATCCTGGAGCCTGAGTTTCCAGCAGGTACCAGGAGGGTAGAAACGGCAGGATTCCAGAGGTTGGCAGGCAGACTGTCCCCTAAGGAGTGGAGGAGGGAGTGGGTCAGGCCCGTCAGGAGTCATTTACCCTGTCTTTAGAACCTAGAGCTCAGAGATTTGAGATAAATACCCCCCTCAAAAGCAACCCACTACCAACAAAACAAAGATCAAATCCTTCCCAAGTATGTTAAGTTCGTTTCAGCACTCAGGAGACAGAGGCAGGAGAATTGAGAGTCTGAGGCTTGTCCGAGCTGTGTGGTAGCATGCTCTATCAAGGAGAAAAGTGTGGGTTGATATGGAGGCTCAGGGCTGTGCAAACCTCACCACTGGAGTGAGTTCCATCACAAGAACCTGCAGTGGAACAGTGAAGCGACTAATGCAAGTTAGTCTTTGACCTCTGCAGGTGTGTGTGCGTGTGTGTGTGCATGTGTGCATGTGTGCGCACATGCGTGTGCGTATGCCCGTGTGTGCACTGTGTGTGTGCTCGCAAGTGAAAGCATGTGCAAACACAGATATAAAATAAAAATAAAATAAAAAGTGGACTCCAAGGCTCAGTCAAACCTTTATTCATCGAGATTTACAGGGGATTACAAGCCCCAAGGGTGAGTGATCTGGCTGGCATTGTGTAGACGTGTGGGCCACTGAACCTGGATGGCAGGGTGTGTCATTTCCAGCTGTGGTCTCTGGATTTATGTGTCACTGGGACTCAGGCTGCAGGGTGAACAGCCACGATTTGTCATCCTGGCTGTGGTGTCTCTCCTGTCCCCAGCTCTAGGGGTCAGGGCCAGGACAACTTTAGCCTGACCTCCGCCTTGTGCCTTGCAGATCAATTTCATCTTTTTCATAAACATTCTAAGAATCCTGATGAGAAAACTTAGAACCCAAGAAACAAGAGGAAATGAAATGAACCAGTATAAGTAAGTGTAAGGCAGAAAGCTTGGCATGCTGGGACAGTCGGCGAGCATCTACTGAACACCTGCTGTTTACCCCACTATGCTAAGCAGAAAGGCAGGCCTGGGGCATACCTGTAGTGTGACTGGGGCGGGTGGGAGGAAATACACCTGAATATGAAGCCTCAGACACTGTGGGGAGGGAAACCTATGAAACCAGACAGGAACCCTTCAAGTATAGATCTGAGCCCTGCAAGGCTGGGAGGGCAAGGGAGTGGATAGGAGGTGTTGAGATGAGGTGGGGTAGAAAGGGCATGACAAGGCCCTCTCCTGTCTCCTCATTTGCTGAGCACAGCAGCAATAGCACAGGTGTCTGATTTATCTGCTAGTGAAGCCGTTGAATGCTTATTGATTTATGTTACTGATAGAGGGGGAGACCAGGAGCACTGAGGCTTGGTCAAGCATCTGGCCAGTGTTGTGCCTGGGTAGTTAGCGCATGGGACTTTAGAGATTTTGCAAAATAAATGAAAACGTGCTGGAGATGTTGTTCTATAATGGGATACTTGCTTAGCGTGAGTGAGGGCTGGGGTTCCTCATCTAGCACTGAAAAATACACAGATTATAGATCACAGATAAGAGGGTAGATAGGTAGATGACACATAGGTATATAGATAGATGATAGATATAGATACAAACTTTCAAAGATGACAGATAGGTGATAAATAGTTGATTGATACATGGTAGATAAGCAGGCACATACAAAGATAATTGATAAATAATAAATAAATGACTGGTAGATACACAAATAGACGACAGATAAAGTTAGACAGGTAGATGAAAGATAGATAGATAGATAGATAGATAGATAGATAGATAGATAGGGAGATGATAGACAGGTAGATGAGAGAGGGATAGGGAGATAGGGACATAGATGATATAGATAGATAGATAGATAGATAGATAGATAGATAGATAGATAGATAGATGATAGATAGATAGATCGATCCAGAAAACAAACAAAACCCCAAATTGAAAAAGTATCTTGAAACACTGCAGCATAACTTAAAACAATCAGGCCCTTGAAGGGTTGAGCTCTGTGTGAGGAGGGCTTGAGCAGATCAGGAGTGGCAGCGTACCCTGTGTCCCCAGGCGCCTGGCCAAGTCCACCCTCCTGCTGATCCCCCTCTTCGGCATTCACTACATCATCTTCGCCTTCTCTCCAGAGGACGCCATGGAAGTCCAGCTCTTCTTTGAATTGGCCCTAGGCTCCTTCCAGGTAAGTTTTGGGGATCGTGACTTAAAAGAGGGCTCCTCAGGACTAGAGCAGTGGCTCAGTTAGGAGAGGACTGGCATTGTAAGCATGGGAACTGAGATCAATCCCCAGATCCTACAGAAAACGTGTGGGAGTGCGTGCCTCTAATCCCATCAATGCTGAGACAGAGGCAGAGACAAAGCGATCCCTGGAGTTCACCAGTGAGCCAGCCTAGCCTATTTGGAGAAGCTCTAGGTCCATGAGAGACCCCATGACAAAAAGTCAAAGGACACCTGAGACCTCCACATCTGTGTACATAGGTTCATCTGCACATGTGTATACACACACACACACACACACACACACACCCCAGCTTTCAGTTTCCTTTGAGAGAAACGAGGCTGCAGAGATAGCAAGCCTGGCAGTCCCACACAGTGCCTACCCAAGGCCACAGGAGAGGACCTCATGATGTCAACTGATTTTGAGTCTCCAACAGTAAAAGCATGGGAATGGGGGAGGTAGACTCCTGGGAGAAGGAAAGAGAAAATCGACAGAGCATGATGGATAAAGAGTTACACAACCACACGGGTAGCACATTCACAACCACAATGACACACTGTGTAAAGCCACAGGCAGGCAGAGGAGCCCTCTGTTTCTCACTGGGAAGTCCAGAGGAAATGTCTAAAACTGAGAAACTGGAAACTCGCAACATCAGCATGTTATTGAAAAAAAAAAGTTAAGAGTGTTCAGGCTGTACTCAAGTTACCCCTAAGGAGCAGGAAGTGGGAGTGGGTGGCAGGAGGGTGCTGGACTTGTGTGGGTGTGCGTGCGTGTGTGTAAGTGTGTGTCAGGGGACAACATTCCTCAGGACTGTCCACCTTGTTTTTTTGCCCTTGTTTTGATTTTTGCATTTTAGATAGGATCTCTCTGTAGCCTGGAACTTATCAAGTAGACCAGACCATTCTAGCGGGCTGGCCAGCCCAGAGACCTGCCAATCACTGTCTCCCCGGTGTGCCACACAATGACTATTTTAGATGGAACCACTGAGCCATCTTCTCAGCCCCAGGATGTTGGAGTTTTAACCAGATTCTTTTGACAGGAGGTAGGGGAGGTCACCTACCTCTAATCCACCAAGATGTTATGAAGTTATGGCAACACTAACAAAAATGGGTAAGAAGAAACCCTAATTGGAATCTCGAGCTTCACATTGTTACTTTATTTATTTGCTTGGAGCCATTTCTTTCCAAAAATAACATAAAGTCACTTTTAGCAACAACCAATGGAGAAAAAAATATGTAGATGACTTATCAGTGGAAAAAACTATACACCCTGTGTGGTAGTGTACTTTGTAATCCAAGCACTTGGGAGGAGGAGGTGGGAGTCGAGGTCACCCTTCACGACATAGCAAGTTTGAGGTCAGCCTGAGTTTGGAGTTTTCCAGAAGCCAAAGAAAGAACAGTTTGTTTCAAGGCTTATAGTATCCATTAGATGAAAGCCAGTTAATATGGCCTGAGGCTTACTGGAAGAGCATTTGCCTGCATGCCTGAGACCCTGGGTTCCATCCCCAGTACAACCTGAGCATGCATGTGTTCATACACATACACAGACAGACAGACAGACACACACACCAATGAAAACAAACCCACTGCCTAAAGAAGCCTTGTGATTCTGTTCTAGAGCTTGAGGACACCCAGCTTCCAGCCCCCACCCCACCCCCACTAAGTCTTCCTTGCAGAGAGACTCTAGCAGAGCCCCCCCCCCCAATAGGGAGGTCTTAGCCTCAGCGTGAGGCCTCCACTCCCTCTTTGTCCCTTGGATTCTGCTCTTGGTGAGCTGAGCTCTGGATTCCAGGGAAGACTGCTCACAGGGGACACAGTGAGTCAGGACCTCTCTGCTATTTCAAATCCAACCTCAGGCTGTCCCTGTGCTTCCTCTGAGAAGCTTCCCTGAGCAGAGCCTCTGCCAACACCTTGGTCCTGTTGCACATTTAAAATGGTCTCACTATGACCCATCTCATTGGGGACTCTGAGGTTCAGGCATTTGGAAGGACTTAGCTTGACCACCAAAGTAGGTAATAAGCATTCAAAGAGCTTGGGACCCCAGGGCTGCTTCTCCATGAAGATAGGGACTTCCTGTCCCCAGAACTGGGAAGATAAAAAAAAAAAACCCACCAAGAACACTTTCCTAATGTCCCATGGACGTGCTTATAAATGAGAAGACCATAAGAAACATGTAAATAGCTGGGCCTGGTGGTACATGCATGCAGTCCCAGCCCTTGAGTTGGGAAGATAGCTTCACATTCTAGGCCAGCCTGTGCTATATTGCAAGTTCCAAGCCAGTCAGGGGCTTGTGAGAGTCTGTTCCCCCATGTGTGTATGTTCTTATGTATACAAATTATTAAATATGTATATGTACCCATAGATATGTATGTGTATTCATATACAAATGTATCAAAGTTTCTCCCTCATACCAAAGTGAAGAGAATAACAGAATGAACCTGTATCTACCAACCAAAGAGAGAGAGAGAGAGAGAGAGAGACAGAGACAGAGACAGAGACAGAGACAGAGACAGAGAGAGATGGGGCCATGGCCTGGAGAGATGGCTCAGCGGTTAAGAGTCCTTATTGCTCTTGCAGAGGATCTGAATTTGGTTCCCAGCATCCTTGTTAGGTGCTCACAATTGCCTATAATTAGTTCCAGGGAATCTGGTGCTTTCTTCTGACCCCTGCAGGTACCTGAGCACAGGTGGCATGCGCACATGTCCACAGATATACGTAACTGCACATAAATAAAAGTAAATCTCTAAGAAAAACCATATACACCTACTATAACAGCAGAACTCACAAGTATTGTTCTGGCTTTGTATCTCCATGGTAGAACATGAGTTTAGCATGCCTGGACCATGGGTTCAAGTCCTGCCCCCTTCAAAAACAGCATGGGGAGATGGCTCAGTGGGCAAAGCATTCACTGCACAAGGATGAGGACCTGAATTGGAATCCCCAGCACCCACGTAAAAAGCTGGGGTGGGGTACCAGCAGAACAAGGTGGATCCTGGGAGCTCATTAGTCAGCGGCCTAGCGGTTCAGAGCCTTGGGATCAGTGAGAAATCCTGTCTCAGGAAGCTGAGGAGGCCTGATTAGGGGTAAGGACCTGTGCTGACTTGTTGACTTCAGGCCTTCATCAGTCTGCACATGTGCTTCAAGTGCACACACGTGCACACACACACACACACACACACACACACCTCACAAAGCCCATATCCCCTAGCACAGGTACTAGCACAGGTACATATTAAGCCCACCACGCAGTGGCAGGTCCATTGCCCTTTGGGGTCCTTCAATGTGACAAGCAGCTAAAGCCTAGAGCAGAGAGGCCAGGCCAGCTGATGTTTTAAGCTATATATGGAAGCCTCAAGAGGGGAGGTGGAGGGCAGGCCTGTGAGGAAGGCAGGATGGTGAGGCGGGCTCTGAGGGAGGGAGGGAGGGAGGGAGGGAGGGAGGAGTGGAGGGAGGGTACAGGTGCTCTGTGGATAGTTACTTTCCCATTGCTGTAATCAAACACCCTGACAGGAACTGTGTAGGGAAAGGAGGGAGGGAGGGAGGCTTTGCTTTGCCCCACAGTTCTAGGGTACAGCCCATGATGGTGGAGAAGCCTTGGTGGCAGGACCCGAGGCAGTTGGTGGCATTGTGGTACTCAGCTGACTTTCTCTCTACTGGATGGAGTAGTGCCCCCCGTGTTTGGGGAGAGTCTTCCCACCTTGGTTAATCTAGAAAACCCCTAAAGGAATGCTCAGAGGTTCTCCTCTAGGTGATCCTAGCCTCTGCCAAGTTGACAGTCAGTAGCAACCAACACACATCACTCACGGCTCTGCAGGCATTGCAGACTGACGACCCAGGGAATATCATCAGGAAAGCAGGAGCTCTGAGAAAAGGTCCAGATAAACTCCACCCCTCCAAGTCAGGAGACACAGCCTGGACCCCAGAGCTGCCTGCACCTGATACACACCTGCACTTGACCCCAGAGCTTCCACACCTGCTAGCATACCTGCACTCCACCCCGGAGCTGCCGGAGCTGCCCGCACCTCCTATAGACCTGCACTCGACCCCAGAGCTGCCCGCACCTGCTAGCACACCTGCACTTGAACCCAGAGCTTCCACACCTGCTAGCACACCTGCACTTGACCCCAGAGCTGCCCGTACCTGCTACAAACCTGCACTCGACCTCAGAGCTGCCTGCACCTGCTAGCACACCTGCACTCCACCCCGGAGCTGCCCTCACCAGCTAGCACACCTGCACCCGACCTCAGAGCTGCCAGCACCTGCTAGCACACCTGCACTCAACCCCAGAGCTGCCTGCACCTGCTACAGACCTGCACTCGGGCATACTTTGCTCTCACCACACGTCTGTTCTCCAGCAGGAATTTATCACCTTTCTTGTAAGCCCAGGATCTCCCACTGGAGTGACCCTGCCCCTCATAAGGGGATGGGGTGATTCTTCAGGGGCCTCCTATCTCTGCTATCCTGGATGGCATTCTTCACCAATTCCAGAGACCTGAATGGATCCTTTAATCAGGGCCCAAGTCAGAAGCTCTTCCCTTACCGTCCCTGACACAGGAGTCGGAGGTCATATGTTAGGTCTCGGGGTCAATAAATGAAAACGACTTCTGCCTGTGTTGAAGGCAGGCAGGCAGATCAGTGCCCCGAAGTAGGGAATTCTCCAAGGCTGAAAGGTCCTAAGGAGCAAGGGTGGAGGAGGTGGTGTGTGTGTGTGTGTGTGTGTGTGTGTGTGTGTGTGTTGCTCACTCAAGGATTCAGGCAGGAGCAGGTGGGAGGGAGAAGTCTATAACCACAGACTAACACAGTTCCTTCTTTAGGGGCTGGTGGTCGCCATCCTCTACTGCTTCCTCAATGGAGAGGTGAGTGTCCTGGGGAACCACAGAATTCCAGTACAGGACTCCCCGCTGACCAGCCAAGGAGAGTGAGAAGGGGACTGAGGCAGGCCTGCTTGCTTGGCAGAGTCGTCCGGTGGTATGATAGATCACATCTTGGGCAATGTCCTCAGGACAGAACCAGCAGAAATAGATTCCGTGGGTCCGTACTGGGTCTGTGAAGTATTCCTTACCAAACTCCATGAGCAAGTTCAGCAAACCCAGATGAGCCCAGACCCCACTCAAACCCAAGTTCCCGACAGCTCTGCTGCCAGCTCTGGGAGGGACCTGGGTCACTTCCCACCCAGAACTCAGTCTTCCCATGAGTGAAGTGGGTCACTTGGAACTGCCCCAGCCTTGGTCAGAGACTGAGGATTCAGGATATGAAGCTCCAGTCACTGACCCTGGCTACACTGGTAGTGCACACAGGCCAAGTGTCTCTGTGGCTATTGACCAATCTGTCTGGTTCACACCTGAATGGGAGTGACCTCAGATGTTTCCCAAAAATCAAACATCAAAGCTGACTTCAGAGGTTCAAGTGTTCTCTTGAGGACCATAGAGGAAATGTCTAAGAGCAAACCCTCAGATTGCGGATGGATTCCAGACTGGGGTGAGGGAGGTATGGGAACAAGCATGCAGGTTTGGACACCTAACTCTGCAGTTTGTGGAACAAATCTTACACCTTTTCTGAGGAACGCAGTGTTAGAAGATGGCGGGTACCATCCAGAACTGATGTGGAAGGAGAGCTCAAGGTGTCCCCTGACCTCCATAAGAATGTCATGGCATGCACGTGTGTTCACATCTATCGCTCTCTAAATAAAGAAAGAAATAATTTTAAAATTTAAAGATGCCATGTACTAGTGCCCACGGTAGAGAAGGCCCTCAGTACCTTTTCTGTACATGGGGCAGGAATGGTCAGTCAGAGACCAATAGGGAAGGGGGCACAGCAGGGCCACGAGAGTAGGGACAGCTGGGCTCATCAGTGAGCCAGAGTCTAGGCAGAGGCCTGAGCTACCTTCTCGGGCAGTTGCTGCAGCTGATGGCTGGTTTTGGACAGGTGCAGCTAGAAGTTCAGAAAAAATGGCGCCAGTGGCACCTCCAAGAGTTCCCGCTACGCCCTGTGGCCCTCAGCAACTCCTTCAGCAATGCCACCAGCAGTACCACCCACGGCACTAAGGCCAGCACCTCGGAGCAGAGCCGGAGCACCCCCAGGGCCAGCATCATCTGAGGCTGCGGCAGGACTGGCAGTGGACACAGAGCTGGACACTCAATAGGATGGTTCTCTTCTAACAGCTCTTCTGTGTTTGAGTGGCTGAGAGGCCTTCCTCCAGGTCTGAGCTTCCTTAGAACTGAGACTGGGTCACCATGGAGCAAGAAACAGGTCTGTGATTTGGTCTTTCTTATTCTTCTGAGAGAGTAATTCAGTGGCTCCGGAGGAGGCAAGGGAATAAATGACATCCAGAACACCCTAGTCTCTGTGTGTCCATCTTTTGCCACCTGGGGAAGGCTTATGTTCTACATCGTTTCCCAGCTTCTCCCTGAGGGAGTAGGGAGCTTCCCTGCTTCCAGGTTCCAGCTCACTTTTAAGGACAAGCCTAGAAGCTCAGGAAATATGAGGAATCAAGCCGCTGGGCCTTAGGCTGATCTCGTCTGCCCTAGAGTTTTCATAGAGCATTCAGGACAGCAGCTAAATTAAGCTTCTGAAGCCCCTTTTCCATTATCTCTGATGTTGTATGAGGACTGGGTGGAAAACAGGTACATCAGGAAGTAAGCCATCCTCCCTATGAACGGCAGACAGCTCCCTGAAGGCCAAGACTTGCCCAAGATACTTGGCAACGATATGAAAGTCTTGTTGCTCTTTTGAGACAGTGTCTTCTATAGCCCAGGCTGGTCTACTAATCCCTAGCTGAAAATGGCCTTGAACTTCATCCTCCTGCCTTCATTTCCAAGTGCTAGAACTGCAGGCGTGCATCACCAAGCCTGCTTTATGTGGTCCTGGGAATCAGACTCATAGCTTCATGCACAGCAGGCAAGCATTTTACCAGCTATGCTACATCTCCATGGACTGCTAATGCATAGTCTTTTAACAATCTGAGCTTCAAGGCGGGTGGTGATTTCCCGACTCTCAAACAGGCAGAGGCCCATCTCCCTGCACTGTAAGCTTCCATAACTCTGGCTGTCAATGCCGGCACATAGGCACTCCCTGGCTCCATAAGAGGATGAAAGAGGATGAAATGAAGTGTTTGAATCTCCTTCCAAACACAACCTAGCAGGGGAACCTAAACAGAAACGGAGAGCTGGCCTCCGATTTGCATCTTCCAGCCTGCTGCAGGACCACTTCCCAGGCTGAGACCCAGGATGAGTGGTCAATGAATTCTGGTTTTGGTAAAACCAGACAGTCCCCATGAACTCCTCAGGTAGAGATGGCAGTGTGGCTCAGTCAGAGAGCACCTGCCCAGGTGCACCAGGCCTTGGATGTGAGTGAGCCTCAGCACTGCAAAACAAAACAGCCAGTTCTGGGGTCTCCGAGGTCCCTGGATAGTGATGGTTCCGATGTAGCATTTGTAGTCTCATGAATCTCAACTGGAATAAAGATGTCTAAAAGTCATGGCTAGAGAAGTGGCTCAGCCCACGAAAGCTCATGGTGAGCGAGCGTGACGGCTTCAGCTGCATCCTGGGAACCTACGTCAAGGCGGCAAGAAAGGACCAGCTCCACAAACTGATCTCCACCCCCCACATGTGCACATGATGTGTACATTCCCATGCATGCATGCGCAATAGTAAGATGAAGATAGGTAAGCTCACTGTAGGAGGGGCTGGAGGGATGACTTAGGGGTAAAATGGATGACGATCTGGGTTCAGTTCCTGGAGCCTGTGTAAAAGCCTGGTGCAGTTGTGCAGGCCTCTAATCCCGGTGCTGGGCAGCCAGAGGCAGGAAGTCCCTGGGGCTCCCTGGCCGTCCAGGAAAGTTCTAGGCCAGGGAAGGACACTGTCTCAAAAGCAAGGTATGTGGTCTCCTGGAGAATGACACATAAGGTTGATTTCACATGCCTGTGTACCCTCACACATATATGTGTACACACATGAACATGTACTCATACATATACAAAATCACAATAGAACTACTTGGGGAGGTTGGGGCAGAAGGATCACTTAAGCTCACAAAGAAGAGACCAGCTTGGGCAATATTTTGTCTCAAAATAAAATGGGCCCTCAGTGGTGAAGTATTTGATGGGTGAATAGAAGGCCCTTGGTGTGGTGCCAGAAGCATCACAGGTGTGTTCACCTAGCCCTGGAAGGGACCCTTATGAGAAGATCAGGGCAAAGTCCAAAAGCCAACTCGGAGCTGGAGGGGAAAAGAACCTTACAGGATAGAAAAAAATACCACATTTCACCTGTTTCTGGGTGGCAAAAACTGGAAATGGGGCAACAGGATGAGCAAACAGATATGGGGGCTGCAGAGATGGCTCAGCTGGTGGATCAACTGCCTTGCAAGAGCCTGAGTTCAATCCTCAGAACCAATGTAGAAAAAAAAAAAGCTGGGCATGGTGGCATGTGCTTGTAATCCCAGCTCTGGTGAGATGAGAGCCAGAGGTCCCTGGAGCTCACTGACCAGCCAACCCAGCCTACCTGGCAAATTCCAGACCAGAAAGAGACCATCTTGAACAAAATGGGGCCAAGGTGATGTTTCCGTGGGTAAAAATGCTTGCTATGCAAACCTGACCACCCGTGTTGGGATTCCCAGCACCCACACAAAGCTGAATGCAGTAGCGACCACATCTGTAATCCCAGCGCTCACAGGCTGAAAAGAGAGAGGCAGGAAATCCTGGAAGCTCCCAGGCTGAGACCAGCAAAGAGACCCGGTCGCAAACCAAAGGGAAGGTGAAGGTCAGAAGGGAGAACTGACCTCTAAACTCCACCTGTGCGCCATGGTGTGTGCATGCCTACGCCCACACACAAAGATTAAAAAAATAAGTGGATGGCATCTAGAAACAACACAGGCAAGGTTGTCCTCAGGCCTCCGTACACTGGTGCTCACACATGCACCTGAACACACAAGCACACATGTGCACACACATACACACACAGGGAGAATGAAAGAGAGAGAGCAGTTCTTCCAGGAGTATGGAAATCTCCACAGGCTCGTGACCCCGTTCACCTCCACCTGTCCCCTGCAAGCTGTTAATTATTACTCAGCATCTGTTTGTCCCCTCACCCGCTGTGGCGTTCAGCAGTGCACGCGTGTGCTCTTTGAAATGTGTCCCAGGATCAGAAACGGGCGCTGAGGTCACCTGACCCTTACAAATAAGAGTCTCACAAACAGTTCTGCCTGAGTCGAAACTGGCCTCGGGGAAGACTGCGTTAGAGAACTTGTGCAGGGACTTTGCCCAAGGAAGATTTCAAACTATGCCCGGAGAAAGGACAGCTAGCATCCAGAAACTGGGGTGTGCCAGAACCTGTGGGTCCACATAAAGGACAGGGGGGACTTAAGTCAGCAGATTGAAAATCTACTAGTCAAAGGGCTTTCTGGGGGGAATCCTGCTAAGCCAGGGAAATGCGTGCAAAGCTCCCTTGAGCTGATGGGAGATGGTCCTAGCCACTGACTGGTCCCTTAGGTGGAGGATTCGGCCATTTTTAGAAACCCCGAGTCCTGAGAGCTGGGCTGGGGATGGTTCAGCAGTTAAAGCCCATGCCGTGCAAGCAGGAAGACCAGAGTTTGGGTCCCCAGAATCAATATATATGTTGGCTGGTGTGGTGTCACCTGGGATTCCAGCCTGGGAGGCAGACGGGGCATCTCCAGAGCAAGCTGGTTGGTGAGACTGGTCTTACAGGTGAGCTCTGGGATTGACTGAGACCCTGCTTCAGTGAATAAGGCAGAAAAGCAATTAAGGATGAGACCAGACATCAACTTCAGATCTCCATATGCACACACTTGCATTGCATGTACATCCACACATACATGAACCCGTGCACATGTTAAAACATGTACACACAGAGACATACACACAGCACAGGCATATAAAGAAGAAAAAAAGTGTCCCAGGGCCCCTCCAGCCCACATCCCAGGGCTATCCATGAAACAGGTGTGAACCTTGCTTAGCTGGGCAGCCAGCCTGGAACTAACTGCTGGTGTCTTTCAGAGTCTACTCCAGTCCAGGGAAGAAAACACCCAAGGAAGAAGTTTTAGAACATTCTTCTTATTTTAAAATTGACATCTTAAAAGCTTGGCTAACCTCTTCGGCTTGTGTCCTGTGGTACTGAGGCACTCCTCTGGCCTCTGGCCTGGGGGGAAGTTGAAGAGACCCCCCAGCCCAGGACCATTTGTAGAGCTTATCGTCTAAGAGGCAGCTTCAAGGTCATTGTCCCACTCAATTCCAGCCAGAGGTCCTGTGTCAGAGAAGTCCCATCATGACCACACTTTCTTATAGAAGCTAGGGCCCCTAGCGGGGTCTTAGACTTTTCTTAGCTGGTCCCAGGGCTGCGTGAGGCTGTTAATGTGAAGGCCGCTGGTGGCATTGAGGAAGAAGAGGAAGGAAGCGGTGAACTCACACCAAAACATCAGGGTGAAGCCCATGAAGGTGATCTGACTCTTGAGGAGGATGATGAAGGTGAGGAGGCCCCCAGAGGAGAGGGCGAAGGCGACCAGCAGGAGGTAAGAACCGATGGCCCACTTGCGCCGTGAGCGGACATCCTCGCACACCTGGGACACAATGAGAAGCTCCAAGCCAAAGATGGCAGCCACCACAGCCATGGCAGCCACAGTGCGTGCTAGGCCCATGCCCACTGCCAACCCAGGCACGTGAGCCTGGTTCAAGTCTCTCAGGCAGTGTGGACCGCTGTGGTTGCTGATGGTGCAGAAGTACCACAGCCCAAAGAGACGGTCCTCCATCAGGAGCCAGTGGCCGTCGCAGATAGATACTGAAGAGAGGACCACAGCCAGGGACGTGCACACGATGATGAGTGTCCGGATGAAGGACTCAAAGAAGGACCGGTGGGGCCTCTTAGGGCCCAACAGCCTCTGGGTCTGGAAGACACCACGCAAATTAGTGAGTTGACAAGGGCCTGGGACACCAGGGGAAACTCCCAGAATGCAACCCCACTTACTCCAGCCCTGGTTTTTTTGGGCTGATATCGTGGGAAGCCATGAATTGACCCTCCCAGCTTCCCATTCAACCCACGCCCACTGGGGGCCCTTCCATTTTCTACCTGTCCTCCCTCCACTGCCAGAGCCTGGCCAAGTGTACTTCATCAATTGCAAACTAATCCCGTACTGTTCTCAGGATCTCTACCCAGAGTGAGAAGCCCAAACTGGAGCCAGGAAGATGGCCTTGTGGGTATAGTGATTGCTTGCTTTACAAGCACGAGGGCCACAGTTTGATCCCAAGAACCCGTGATTTAAAAAGACAAGCATGGTGGTAAGTGTGTGAGCTGGGCAGGTAGAGAAAGGCAGATCCCTGGGACTTGTTGGCCAGTCAGCCAACTTGGAGAGCTCCAAGCCAGAGAGAGAGAGAGAGAGAGAGAGAGAGAGAGAGAGAGAGAGAGAGAGAGGAGAGACAGAAAGACACACACACATAGAGAGAAGATGGTACCTAAATAACAATAGTTGATGTTGGCCTCTGATCTCCTAATGAGAATGTGTACACACACACACACACACACACAAACACACACACACACCATGGCAGCTGGTTAATATAGTTCCATTCCTAGGATATTCTTTCAGGCCACTTGGGCCCCTGTCTGGCAGCTCCTGGGCATCTCTCTCACCCCAAGAATGACACCTTGTCTCTTCTCATTCTCTTCGGAGAGGTCCTTCCCACCCAGCCAGCCCCAGGTCCTCTACTGCTCTTCTCCGGCAGGTGCCCCGTTTGCTCTTTGCTCTATTCTGGTGGTATGTTGGAGTGACATGCCATTGGCCGTCCACCTGGACATTGCGTTCCCCTCGGAGGGCAAGGCCACATGTCAAGAGACCGTGGTATTTGCAGTATCCAGCATGCTGTTAGACCTGTGCACTTGGTAGGTGCTTGAGGAAGAACACTGGGGAACTGGTCAAGTTTCTGCTGGAAGTTCCTTATAGACTGAGCCTCCTGCCCAGACGTAAGCTAACTGACTCATTTATAGGATGCACAGAAGCAGGTTATGTCACTGTTTGAGGTAGGAAGAAGAGATAACACAGAAAGATTGCTGCTGGGAAATGAGGGGAATGAAGGAAAGGGAACTGCAGCGCGCATCCTATGGCAGCTGTGAATAAGATTCCAAAGGCAAGCGTGAGCTGCACCTCTCTCAGATACAGCTGAGCCTGGCTCCCGGGAGACTGCAGGCAGAGCCTTTATGAGGCTGTCTGCTAGGGCTGGGGATGGAAGACTCGCTAAAGTGCTTGCCATGCAAGCATGAGGACCTGAGTTCCAATCTCCAGCACCCACATACAAAGTGAGCCATATTTGTAACTCCAGTGCTGGATGGACTGGGGGTGGATGGGTGGATTTCTAGAGCTCATTGATCTGTCTAGCTTAATCAGTGAGCTTCAGATTCAGTGAGAGACCTGTCTCAAACGTGTCTGCGTTCTCTCTCTCTCTCTCTCTCTCTCTCTCTCTCGTTTCTCTTTCTCACTGTATTTTGAGCCAGCGTTGTTTAATACATCCAGGCTTGGCCTTCATCCACTACATAGCCAAGGATGATGTTGAACTTCTACCCTTCCTCCTTCCTGGGATGACAGGCGAGCAGTCCCCATTTGTTTATTCGGGGCTAGGGTTTGAAACCAGGGCTTCACACGCGCTGGGTAAGCACTTCGCCAGCTGAGCCACATCTCCAGTCAGTGCCCTTGTTTTCTTCTCGTCTGCCCAGTGAAGCTGGCAATCCCCGCAGGAAAGCACCTGGCAAGATTATGAAATCCCTAGAGGCTAATATGGTCACAGGATGGGGCAGCTACAGATGCAGAGAACGAATCACAAGACACGCAGGCCAGCTCAGACACCTTTTGACCCTAGGCCTCTTGCTGTCTGGAAAACAGGCACATTCAGTCCCTTCCTCGGCCCCGCCTGTCCCAGGCCCTGACTGGACTTTAATCTTCAGGCCCTAAGACGCCACACTGGGACCAGACAGAGGTGACAGAGAGATCTGGTATCGTCTTTCCTTCTGTGGACTTGAAGTAGGCTTTATTTAAACTCTCTGACCACCAGTAAGACTGCAAGGATTAAAGGCTCATGAAGTAAAGACACGTGGGGCTGGAAAGACGGCTCGGTCTGTAAAGTGCTTGCAAGCATGAGGACCTGAGTTCGATTCCCAGAACCCATGAAAAAGCTGGGTGTGTTGGTACGCACTTAAAATCCTAGCACTGAGGAGGGAGAGATGGATGGATCACTGGGGTTCACTGGCCAGTCAGTCTCCCCAACTTGGTGAGTTCCAGGCCACACCAAAGTAGTCAGTAAAATGCCCTCCTTGCAAGCACAAAGATACGAATTCCATCCCTAGAATCCAAGTTAAAAAACAAAAATAGAAGAAACAAAAAACCTGGGTATAGTGGATGTTAGTAATCTCAGCATTGGGAAGACAGGCCAGTCACAAGGAATTCCTTTAGCCTAGTTGATGAGTTCTAGGTCAGTGCAAGACCCTGTCTCAAAAAGCAAGGTAGATAGAGCAGGAGGAAGAACGGTACTTCAGGTTGTCCCATCCCCCTAAGCCACATACAAAATGTGTGGCCATAGGTGGTTCCTGGTTCCTGAGAGTGGTCTATAACATCAGCAAGGATCATGTATATATTAGCCTTCATCCTGAACCACTGTGTATGCCTCAGCCCATACTGCTGGTACCAGCTTCCAGTGACCCTGGGGGCTGGAAACTTCTCCTGGAAGCTGGGGTGGGGGCGGGGCTGGGGCGGGGTGGGGGCTGGGTGGGGTGGGAGGGGCTGGGGTGGGGTTGGGAGGGCTGGGGCGGGGTGGCATGGAGGGTTGTGCTGCTGAGTGGTAGCAGTCAGTGCAAGAGCCGGCTGGAAAAAGAGGAAGTGGTGTTTCATCTCTATAGCTTAAGGCTATCCCTTCAGCCAGGGCCTTGACCTCCTCCACTAAACAACACTTCTCATTCTTTTACCCTGAGACCCTGACCGCTTCCAGCTGACCTGTTGCCTGAGGTCAAGGGCTACCGAGGCCACCCCCAATGCCATGTCATATCATCCTCTGCTCTCCAAGACCAACAGCACCCCAAGAATGCATACTGGATTCATACTTATGCCTCACATCCCTGTATCCACTACTCTGCAAGGTGTGCTCTGTCCAGGCCTGGGTCAGGCCACCGTCCCCGCATTGGCCACCCCAACACACTGACATTTCTTCTGCAGCCTGCTCAGGACCAACCTAACTGTTCCTTTCAGCTCCACTGCTAGCATGATCCAGGCCACGTGCCCACCCTTGCTCCTGGGTATAGACCCTCATTCGTGCTAGGCAAGCGCTCTGCACCTGACTCACATACGTGAGTGAACACACACGCCCACACACACGCGCGCACACACATACGCACACTTTTATTCTGAGACGGCCTGATCATACTCTAGTCTTTGAACCTGCGATCGTCCTGCCCCAGTCTCTCAAGGAGATGAACCTGCACTAACAGGTCCTGCCTTTTAGCTGTCACTCATTCCCCCTTCCACCTCCTCTCCACTGAAGGGTGATAACAGTACCTAACTCCTAAGGTTGCTAAGGGGGTGAAGTTGTTGACCAAGTTGCCCTCAGAGTAGAGACAAGTGCACTCTATACCCTGCACTAACATGGGTGTAGCTCATGGTCCTGACTGCTACACACAGCTGAGCCTGGGGTGGTCCTCCCTTCTCCCTCATCCTCTCCCTACCCTCTCTCCTCTTTTCTTCCTCCTGCCCCTCTCTTCCTCAGTCTCCTTTTCTCTCCCTCCTCCTCCATCCTCCATCCTCCTCCCTTCCTCTCCTCCCATCACTTCTTTTCCCTGTCTCTCTCCTCTTCCTCCCCTTGCTTTACCCCCTCCTCCCCTCTCCTCCTCCCTCTTCTTTTCTCCTCCTCCTCCCCTAGAAAGGGGCTCCTATCTATGGTTTTTGTACCTCTTAGCCTAGCTCCTCCCACACCCACACACTGGTTTCTGGGCATCTCCTTGGGGTACCCCCACACTTGTTTTGGGGTGCCCCTGTGCCTTTCTCCCTATGCCTTCCTCCCAAGGTCCCTCCCTGGAGATGACCTGGAATATGCCCAGGAACAAAAACAAAACAAACAAACAAACAAACAAAAAGAAGCCACCTAACCAGAGTCTCTGTCTGTTGCACCCTGAGTTCTGGTTAAAAGGGTTTGGGGGTGGCCTATGCAGGGTCTTTTTCTTGTCACCAAAGGGGTGGGTGAGGTTTGGAGGTAGGGAAACTTGAATTTGCCTACATTCTGTCACCTGGCTACCCACTGTGGGCAGGTCACTTTTGAGCCTCAATTATCTCTCGGTAAAATGGGTAGAGCTGTAGGGGTGGCCTGTGTCTATAATGCCAGTTATTCAGGAGACTGAGGAAGGAGGATAGATAGATAGCCCAGGGGTCTGAGACCATCCTGAACAACAAAGCAAGATACTGTCTTAAGCCGTATCGATAATGATGAAAATAATAGTGACGGCTAAAGGAGGGAAACTACCAATATTATCAGTGTTATGGGGCCTGAGCATTTGAAGGCAGAGTCAACTGACATATCTACTCCTCAGGACAAGACTAGACAGTGGACAGCCTGGAGGGCAGCCAGACACCGGGATGCCTGGGTGAGCAGGAAACAAGCCTCGGGGTAGTGGACACTTCCCGACCGCCCTTTGAATGGGGTAGGAATGCCGAGATTCTCAGCCAACACAAACACTCTCGGCACTGCCCCCAAAAGAAGCCAGATCTTAAAGGAGGCGGAGGCTCCTGTCCCAGGAGCCTTTTTCCTGGGATGTGGGGTCCCCGGTGAGTACTCTTCCATCTCAGTTCTACCTAGCTCCCCAAAGGCCTTTTAGAGAAGATTATCTTTGCAGTCCCAACTCCCAGAAAGTTCTGACTTTGCAAGCAACTAGTCCACCATTACGTAAACCAAGTCTAGCCTTTTGCAAATCCATTCTGTCCGTCCTCCACTCCAGACGCCCAGTTTTTAAAAACTCCCAACGACCCCTGAGGAAAGGCTAACTCACAGGTCATTCACTGATGACCCCGCAGAAAGTTTGGTGGCTTCTGGTGCCCTCAGGGGTCAAGAAGACTGCACAGAGCGAGCTGCACTGGGGAGCAGGTACCCCCAGATCACTCTCAGAGAAACCTTCCCGGGGGCAGGGGGAGGTTACCAGCAAGAACTGGGCATTTGGGGAGTTGTCACCCTGACCCAAGGCTTCAGTCACTGAGGGTTCCCAGTCCTCCCCATAGTAGGCTATACCCCGGCTCTGCGCCCCGCGGGCCCCTCGGGCTACCTGTGCGCCGATGGCCGTCATGCTGCACCCTGGGCAGCCGCGCTGTTGCTTGGCCTAGCTGTCGCACGCACTCCGGCTGCTGCTCTGGGCTGCCGGGCTGGCCCTCTCCCGGGGCGGGGCGCAAGTCAGGGGGCGGGGGCATAGCGCTCACTAGGCTGCTCGGGTTACGCTGACTCAGCGCTCTTGGTCCCCGAGAAGGGGTACCCGGTGACCCCGCTTGCTTTCCTCGCCTCGATACAGATTCTTCGAGGGCTGGGAAATTTGGTTCCGGTCCAAACTTGAAGGGCCGCGTGTCCCGAAGGAGCACCTGGGTGCAAAAGGCAAAGGATCCCGCCTGGATTCTGGCTTCTACACCCACTGGTGACCTTGGACTGCTAGTTTAAAGTCGCTGAGCCTTGGTTAATAAGTGAGATAATGTGTGATTGACTGGGCTCTTGCAAGGCTTTTGTGACACGTGAGTGGACCAGAACCCTCTGGGGGCTATCACTTGCTTTAGTTTGCCTTTTAAGGAGGAGTGACAGGATCCTTGTCTCCTGATCCTCTCAGGGACTATCAACAAATATTAGGCTGGATGTTGAAGCAGACTCCTGTAACCCCAGCATTTGAAGGGCTGAGGCAGAGGGATTGCCTCCAGTTAGAGGCCAGTCTGGGTTACATAGTAAGTTCAAGAGCACTCTGGTATAGAGTGAGACCCTGTGGTCACTGAAAGAGGAGGGAGGAGGGGGATGGGAAGAAGGAGGAGGGAAGGAAGAAACGAGGGAGGGGAAGGGGCGACAAGAGGAAGGAGAGGAGGAGGGAGGTGAAGGTCCAGCATGCTCAAGGTCCCGGGGTTCATGTTCCAACAGCATGAGTAAATGGGGGGGGGGCGGGGAAGAATGGGTATGCTAAAATATTCCCAGCCTCAAAAGGATGTATGGTCAGGACCAAAGGCAAGGGTTTCCACGAGTTCTGTCTACCTCCTTCAGCCCCTGTGGGGAAGAGGGTAGGCGGGGTCCTGATTAAGGTAAAACAAGATGCTGGTTAAGGTGTAGATTAGATGGATTGAATCATCTAGTTTATTCTGGCCAGTGGACAGCTCTCTTTTTATCTAAGGACATTGGACTTTGAAAGCACTGCATAGTAGTGGCGGCACACGCCTTTAATCTAAGCACTTGGGAGGCAGAGGCAGGTGAATCTCTGTGAGTTCGAGGCTGGTCTGGTCTACAAGAGCTAGTTCTGGAACAACTAGGACTGTTACACAGAGAAACTATGTCCTGGAGGAAAAATAATAAAGCATTGCATGTATGTCTCCCTGGAAGAGCCCTGGGGACAAATGGAAAGACAGTCAGGCATGCATCTTCTGTTTTCATGTTCATCTGGGTCCTTCACCATTAGAGAAACCCTTGGCCAGTTCTGGGACAGGCAGATGGGGTGTGTAGGCCTCTCCTTGCCTTCTCTTGCCTTTCTGTTCAGAGCGAGCACCACCCAAGAGACTGGCAAGCACGCTGCTGGGCCCCTTCCCAAAACTGTGACCCTTGGGACTGGGTTGAGACCTGTAGTGAGAGACGTTGGTGCTGCCACCTCTGGGGCTAGAGAGACCTGAGCTAAGGCCGAGGGCAGGAGGTCAACTCGAGCGCTGGGCTGGGCGCCCTCCCCCCAGCCTCAGGACTCCTCTCCCCAGACCAGGAGTCTAGAAGCCAGGCATTCATTCCTCTGAAGCTCCGATTCCATTGGAAGATCTCACAGAGAAGGAGGACCAACTCCAAACAGGGAGGAGTTTAGGGGGGAAGGAAGAGGGAAGGAATGGCCATCCCTGCAAGCAGCTCTAGAATATTCTGCCAGGCTGAACTGGACTACTCTTTTCCACCTGACCTGAGGTTGGCTGGTGCCTGGAGAGCTCAGATGGTAGGGAACTTGCCTGGCCTGCAGCAGGCTCTGGGTTCCAAACTCAGCACCACATGCTGGGTGTTAGGCTATAGGTACCTGTAATCACAGCATTGGGAGGTAGAGGCAGGAGGATCGGAAGTTTAGTCATTCTTGACCTCACGAAAAGCTTAAGGCCAGCCTGGGTCACATGAAACCTTGTCTCAAAAAGGAAAAAAAAAAAAAGGAGTCATTGGGTTTCATAATCTGCACCCATCTCGTGCCTTCTGAGATTGCTAGACAGGCTGCACATGTCTGCGGGTAGGGTGCCTGTTCGCTGACGTTTATAAGAATAGAAAAGTCTTGAATCAGTTGAATTTACTGCCGCACGCCTTGTCAGCAAGAAGCTCTAAGAAGCAGAAATGAGGAAGTATCTGTCCAGTTCCCAAAAGGAGCACGGAACAGAGGCCTGGAGTCTGGGTGGGGCTTGTGCCAAGATCTGACACCCTTGGCTTGAAGCATCCATGACACTCCCTCGGCACACCCTCCCGCAGTGACACAGCAGAGATAAACACTGTCCTGGCAGAAACACACCATGCCAAAGAGCGACCCCTGTGCTGTGAGCCAGCGCACACCTCTAAGCCCCAACACTCGCTCTCCATGCAGAGGCAGGTGTTCCCAGTGAGATCTACAGAGTGATCCCACTAGCCAGGGCTACACTGTTGGGCACTGTCTCAAAAACTCTGGGGTAAGAAAGCCTGAAGCCTTTCTCTTTTTGGCTGTCAGACATGAACCCCAAGGAATTGGAATTTCCCAAGGAAGCCCAGGCTGGGGAAGGAAAGACTGCCCAACATCAAAGACAAACAGAGATTTGTCTCTAGGAAGAGATTTTTGCACAACGGTAGCAACTGGTTAGACCACCTTGCAGGAGAAACCGAAGCTGAGACACCCTCTGTTTAAACCTGAACTTCACATCGGGACCCTCAGGCTGGACTCGGGGGTCATGACCTTTCTATTCGTCTGTTTCTTTCACTCCCACTTGAGGGCCAGTGGCGAGTCGACTTGTCAGGTTGCCAGGGTCCGAGCTATGAGCCTTATAACGGCAGCAGCAGCAGGCATGTCCGTGTAATGGAGTCTGTGGTGGACAGGGATGGCAGGGTAGGACCCCAGGCAGTAGAGTCACAGGCGGCGTGGACACACATGTGGCTTTCCAGACCACTTAGAACCTCTTTTCCTTGATATTCCCTGCCTTTTCTCCAGATGGTCTGACAGGTTGAGCCTCTGCCCTCTCCTCCTAGTCATAAACTTGGCCAGACTTAGAGAAAAATGAATGTCAAAAAAAGAGGAAGTCAGCAGAGCAGCAGTGGCGCACGCCTTTAATCCTAGCACTTGGGAGGCAGAGGCAGGCGGATCTCTGTGAGTTCGAGGCCAGCCTGGTATACAAGAGCTAGTTCCAGGACAGCCAAAGCTATTACACAGAAAAACCCTGTCTCAAAAAATAAACAAACAAATAAATGAATAGAAAATAGAGGAGCCCCTGCTCCCCTGTCCCACCCCTTCATCTGACAAGACCCAGACCCAGGTCCCTAAAATTCCCAGGTGAACGGATGCTAATCAGTGACTCCACATGCACTGACATCATTGGTCGGTAAGCAAGCACTGCCCACAGCTCTCCCACTCATCTTGGTCTTTGTACACATTCTCTCCTCTGTCTGGAACACTCTTCTTTAAGATAGCAGACCTGAGCAGGAAGTGCAACTCAGTGGAAGAGGGCTTGCCTGTCACAGACGCACAGGTGCGCAAGTCCCGAGGTTTGACTGCCAGCACCACAAGTAAAAAGAAACAGGGCTGGAGAGATGGTTCTGTTGGTAAAATGTTTGCTTTGCACGCACAGGCACAAAAGCTCAACACCCAGAACCTACATAAGGCAAGCTAGGCCCTACAGCATGCTTGTAATCCCAGCACCAGGGAGGCAGAGACAGGCATCCACCCTCCCCAGCCTTGCCTAGCACCCTTTGCTGAGTTCCAGGACAGTGAAAGACCATGCCTCAGAGGACAAGGTGGATGCGCCTGGGGGATGACAGCTTGGACTGTCCTCTCTCTCTCTCTCTCTCTCTCTCTCTCTCTCTCTCTCTCTGTGTGTGTGTGTGTGTGTGTGTGTGTGTGTGTGTTCATTCATCTGTCTCTTTCTCACACACACACACACCAATCCACCATATACTACTTACACAAAGAAAAGAGAGACAACAAGGAAGGTGGGGAGGGAGGGAAGGAGCCAGTGAGAGGGTTTATAAGGCTAAGACACTGGCTGCCAAGTCTGAGTTTGATTCCCAGACCCACATGGTGAAAGGAGAGAATCAACTCCTACAAGCTGTCTTCTGTTCTGGCTAAAGCATGTGTGCACACACGCATAGGTGCACATGTTTGTGCTTGCACACACAGGCACAAACAAAAAGAATTTAAGAGAGGAGGGAAGGAAAGAAGGAAAAGAAAAGAAACATAGCTTTTAATACCTAGTACGCCACTCACCCTTTTGAGTTCTGATGAGTCTGATTCCTGAGAAAGGACTAGGTGACACATGTACAACAGCTCCCATTCTCTCCACTTCCCCCTTCCTTCTCATCCTCGCTTGTCCTTCACAGCATCAGCGCTGTCCAAAAACAAAAATACATAAATCAGGACAGCCATCCAGTAAGGGAGGACACATACTCCAGTTAAGCTGAGCAGGGGAGGTTGATTTTATAGACTGAAAACAGAAACTTGAAACAAAAAGGCAGGTTGGACATTTCAAAGTTTCTCTTTCTCGTAAGGTGGGGACAATAGAAAAACACTGGTGTCAATTTAGCAACAGATTGCTCCAGCCTACCTTTTGAGCAAAAGGATTAAGGCAGGGAGAAGCCTCATTATCAGGACGGAAGTTGGCCTGTTCGGGGAGTCGGGTTGTTTCCCTAATCCTTATTTCTCAGAATGCAGATAATGGGTTCATTGCAGGCAATGACAATTCATTGATTCACTTGGACAATGAATCAATCAATTAATTAATTAAGGCTGGGAGATGCCTCTGGCAATAATGTCTGAGCCAATGCTTCATTGCAAGCATGAAGATCTTAGTTTGTTTTTGTAATCCCAAGAACTGAGAGGAAGAGAGATCTTGGGGCTTGCTGGTCACTCAGTCTTGCCTACTCAGTGATCTCCAGCCAGTGAAAGATTCTTTTTAAGAAAAGAAAAATATGGGAGGGGGGCAAAGATGGCTCAGTGGATAAAGCGTTATATATATATATATACATATGAAGCATGAAGCAAAGAGCAGCCTCTGTGAAGTTGTCCACATGCATGCTACCACACGAGTGCCCCCCAACACACACACACACACCACGACAACAACAAAATGGACAGCTTTGGATTTTTTTTTTCTGGTGGCTGGAGAGATAGC